TGTGTGTGTGTGTGTGTGTGTGTGTGTGCGTGCGTGCGTGCGTGCGTGTGTGCGTGCGTGTGTGCTTACGCAGGCCCAGCTCAAAGAGATGGAGTCGAAGACCCAGGAGATGATCCAACAAAGACTCGTGAAGATTGAGGATATCCGCTCATCGGTATCCCAACTGGAGGTCTGTCAGCCACGTGCGCGCTTCGCGTTTTTGGACCCGTTCCGCTGGAGGGAATTGTCCGTCTGTTTTGAGAAGTTTCTTTGGGGTATTTTGTGTGGAACCAGCTGGTGGTGGAGCGGGCGACGATGGGCAGCGTCTGCATTTTCTCGGCGCTGACGGCGGCCATCGAACGAGCGCAGGCGGAGCTGATGAACGTCATGCAGGCCAACCGGCAGACGGCGGCGAACCAGGCGGATGCCTTGATACGGCAGCTCGAGCAGGAGGTGGAAGAGCTGCGGCGGCGGGAGAGCGCTCTCACGCAACTCTCGACCACGGATGACCACCTACACGGTGTCAAGGTGAACTGTGTTACGGAGGGCTCCTCGAAATTCACGTCTTTATCCGAAATGTATTTACGACCGTCTCGCCCAGCATGTCTGCGAGTTTCAGGTTTGGAAACCGCTGTCATGACTAACGCGAACAGATCCCGATAGATGGCGACGTTGCATCACATTGTATATGAGATCAGCACAGATTTTGAGTCGAAGATTAGGTGGTGAACTTTGGGTCTATGTCGGTTATGAAGGAGAGAAATGCCAACATGTGGGTGTCGCAAGTTGTTTGCTTGGGTGCTCTCAGTGTTTTTCCGTTCACCTCTCCCCTCTTTTCTCAGCTCGTCAGCCGCGGCCACCTCACTAGCCACTCTTGGCCAAATTGTTTCGCTTTCATGCAAGACTCCCCAGCATTATTCTTTGGATTGATCTCCCGTTATCAACTCTGCCTGTCTCAGACCTTCCTGCCTCTACGTTTTCCTGCCAATCACCTCAGCGTTCTGTCCTCAATTATGAGTTTCGCCTTTGCCCTTCCTCCCTTCTGTTTGCTTGTCCCGATGTCTGTCTCATGTTGACACAGCATTGGATTGGACCTCTGAACCCATGCCAAGCCAACAAGAGAATGGTTTTTGTTTTCATTTATATATATGTAGCCCGGTGGTGAAGTGGGTACCGCATCGACCTCACAGTGCAGAGGTGCAGGGCTCGATCCCGGCTGCGGCTTCCCTTGTGTGGAGTTTGCGTGTTCTCCCCATGCCTGCGTGGGTTTTGTCTGGGTGCTTCGGTTTCCTCCCGCGTTCCAAAAACATTCATGGCAGGCTTAATCGAGCACTCTAAATTGTCCCTAGGTGTGAGTTTTTAATGCATCCAACATGCATGTTCCTCGTGATGCAAAATGATCAATGTGCAGGAAGTTACTGACACATGCCTTCTATTGTACCTCGTAGTTTTTCTAGTGCACCACAGTAGTTTACTAGTAAGGTTTAATGTGTCCTGATAAGCTAAAAGGGTACTTGTTGTTTAAAAAAATGTTACTAGTAATGCACAGTCATTCGACTAGTTCGCCCTCGTCGTTCTCCCGATGCGCCGCGTTGTCTTACTGATAAAGACAAAGAGCATACTCGTACCTCCAGGTGAATATCGAGGCAATGTCAAAAATGATCCAACTTGATTCTGCGCCAGAATTTCGCTACGGTCACTGCTCCTCTACCCACCAACGATTGGTCGGGTGTTTCCATCACGTGCGATCTGGGGACCAACGCCATCTACGGGTCGCTGGCAGGCGAGGTGGAGAAGTTCCCTCGTCGTTCTCCCGATGCGCCGCGTTGTCTTACTAATAAGGACAAAGAGCATACTTGTACATCCAGGTGAATATCGAGGCAATGTCAAAAATGATCCAACTTGATTCTGCCCCAGAATTTCGCTACGGTCACTGCTCCTCTACCCACCAACGACTGGTCGGGTGTTTCCATCTCGTGCGATCTGGGGATCAACGCCATCTACAGGTCGCTGGCAGGCGAGGTGGAGAAGTTTCAGGAGCAGCTGAGGGGCATCATCGAGACGGGTGAGTCCACCTGCCTTTTTTCCTGGTTGGGGATTTTGTCATGACAATGCTGCGGGTTTACCATCACGTTTGTAACGCAATGGGGTGCCGCAGGAATTTGTGCAATTTCATTTAATTGGTCTGGAAACATCAAAAATGTCGCTCTGTTCGTCCGTTGATTCATTGAAACTCTTCAGGTTTCACTGCCTCATCACTGGAGACCAGTCCAGCGCGTCCACAGCCCAGTGAGTGTCGCACCGCATACACCAGGGATGTCCAAAGTTTTTCCAGCGAAGGCCGCATACAGAAATAGAAGGACTTTTGTGTTTTAAGAAACCAGCTAAAACGGATTTGAAATGCTGTTGAATCAGCATATGGGGGCGAAAAAAAAGTTTCAGCTTGGTGTTACTGCCGACAAAGCAAAAATTTAGTTTCCGTGTGATGTCTAAAAATATATACTTTAAAAATAATATGGTGTTTTGTAACATTCAACTAAAAACATTTTTAATTTGATTTTTTTTATTTTTTTTAAATTAATCATGTCACAATTTTGTAAATTATTTTTATTATTTAAAAATATGTACTTTAAAAATAATATGGTGTTTTGTAACATTCAACAAAAAAGATTTTTCATTTTCAAAAAAACATTTTTTATTTATGATTTTTTTTGTAAATTATTTTTATTATTTAAAAGTATGTAAGTAGTGTGATTTCTGGTAATATTCAAATTCATTTTTAAACAAAAAAGTGACAATTTCTTATGAAACTTTTTACATGTATTTCGACGTATAATATCTTGTAACTTTATATATACATCGAAATGTGATTCAAATTCATTTTTAAACAAAAAAGTGACAATTTTTTTATGAAACTTTTTACATGTATTTCGACATATGTTTTAATCTTGTTGCATTCAACTTTTGTGACATGGTTTTATTTTATTATTACAATATGAAGTTTTATTGTCATATAGAAACGTGCCTCAGGTCTAACTTTGGACAACCCAGGTACACACACACACACACACACACACACACACACACACACACTCACCCCCGTACTGTCCCCTCCAAAAGTATTGGAACAGCAAGGTCCTTTATTTTTGTTGTGTACTGAAGACATTTATGTTCCATATCAAAAGACGAATACGAGACAAAAGTTCAAAAGTCCAACACAATAAAGGACTTCATCAAGGGAAAAACGTGACAGGTCAATCACTGGACCTAAACCCAATAGCGCCTGCATTTCACCTCCTGAAGAGGAGACTGAAGGGGGAAACCTCCAGAAACAAACAAGAATTGAAAGAGGCTGCAGTAAAGGCCTGGAAAAGCATTTTAAATGAAGCTTGCAACAGTCTGGCAATGCCTTTGGGTCGCTGGTTTGATGCGGTTATTGTAACTCAAGAGTTATGCCACCAAACATTCAATGCTTGAAGTTCATGTCATAATCTCCGTTCCAATACTTTTGCTCCAAAGTGGGTTGCTAAACACATCTCGATGTACTACCATGACATAAACGCTCGAATTCTAAACGTTCGTCTGGTATTCATCTTTTGATCGGAAACCCAAATGTTTTCCGTGTACTGTACAGCAAAAACAAATGAATTAACCTTGCCGTTCCAATACTTTTGGTGGCGACTGTATATATCAGGGGTGTCAAACTCATTTTTGTCGCGGGCCACATTTTAGTTACCATTTCCCTTGGAGGAGCGTTATGACTGAAACCATATAATAACGATTTATTCAACTATTGTTTAAGTTTCTGTAATGAGGGGTTTGATCACAAGAAAATGGTTACAATATGTCTCTAATGTATTAAATATGAGAATTTTAAATTTTGGTAGAGATTTTAGCAAGCATCATGGAAGTGGACATGTTTGATTTGCTTTCGCGGGCCCAATAAAATGATGTGGCGGGCCAGATCTGGCCCCCGGGCCATGCGTTTGACACCTCTGGGTTAAATTACGCAATTTCACTTAATCTGTGTGTATATATATATATATATATATATATACACACAGACACACACATACACAAGCTCTTGTGGCGTCCTAACATGTCCGCTTCTCCACAGGGATGAGAAGGGTGCAGGAGTTTGCAGGTAGGGTGACCAAGCGGTGCCGCATACACGCTGGATTACATGCAGCCCCTCATGCCTAACGTCGGGCTTTTCTTTTTCCACGTCCCGCAGTGGACGTCACACTGGACTGCAACACGGCCCACCCCAGACTGCTTCTGTCCGACGACATGAAGAGCGTGAGGCGTCGACGCCGTCCACCAGAACGGGGTTTTGAGGAGCCATCCCGCCTCACGTGGTTGTTCTGCTTTGTGCAGGTGTGGTGCGGCGACCGGCACCAGCTACTTCCGGACAACGTCGAGCGGTTTGATCGCGTCGTGTGCGTCCTGGGGAGGGAGGCCATCACCTCCGGGCGACACTACTGGGAGGTAAGCCCGCACGTTCGCCGTCATGACGTGCGGCGGCGTCGGTCTGAAAGCGTCCTCCGCGTCAGGTCCAAGTGGGCGGGAAGACGGACTGGGATTTGGGCGTCGCCAGGCAATCCATCAACAGGAAAGGCAAGATTGACGTGACGCCAAATAATGGATACTGGTTCCTCAGCTTGAGAGACAAGTGAGTCATTAGGATACCCAAGTAAAGCTAATAAATAGATTGTTCAGCCTCCCCCCCCAAAAAAAAAAAAAAACAAAACATGTTTTACATGTTGTACTATCAAGGGAAATTTCAGGGTGAACCGAAAATACACTCAGCTCAACCTTATTTATACAGCACTTTGAAAACAACCACAGCTGCAGATAAAGTGCTGTACATAAAGTCAAGTATCTTATACCGGTCAACAGGAAATTTCAATCAAAGTTGGCTTTGAGTACTCAAATGTAATTTTGATGGTGATGTCTTTTCACCTTCATAAGCTTGCGCAATACAAATTTTACAATTTATATCTGTGACATTTAAGAAAAAAAAATCTTCCTGTTATCTGAATCGAACGCTTAATTCTATATGACTATATGACATATTATTTGTTATTATGAGAATCTGACGTGCTAGAGGAAAAAAACGAGGGTGATTCAGTCAGTGCAAAAAAAAAAATCAAGAAAAGTTTACTTGTATCTCTTTAAAAATATTTCTTTTAAAAAGGAAAGATTTGTTGACCAGTCTTATTAACCAAATAGAAGCGTTGAAAATAACCTTGAAGATCGTCATCAGGAGTTTTAAAACTCCGCCTCTTCCCTCTGTGGAAGTGATGTGCTTCAAGATTGAAAATCTGGCACAGTACCGGGTAAGAATTGTTTGGTTACATTTGAGTAAACCTGTTTTGTTAAAAATGGATCTCTAGTCATGTTTCATGCAGAAGGAACACATCAGTCACGGTCGATTTGCGTGCAGATTCATTTCCTCCTCCCAAACCGCTTAGTCAGCTCTTTGTTTGATGTATTGCGTCACTCGTGGCTCCACGAGTTTGAGAACACATTTGGGAAGAGGATGCAACCAGTCGTTTGCTATTGCGGAGTACAAGTCCTTCCTACGACCATGCGTGGCGGCTCACAATGTTGCTTCCCGATTATGCCACCAGGGGTCCCATTTTTCCCCCCCATTCCAGCAAGTTGATCAATCGCCCGGTGTGAGACGCAAACTACATTTTTTTTCACAATTTTCCAATTCAGTGTTGAGTTCACCTATAAATGTCAGTTTTGGTTCATCCTGAAATTAACCCCACATTTTTTTCGGGTGAGTAGCGTACAACCGCTTTAAACAAACATCATGTCCCACCCTCAGGAACAAGTACGCCTTTCGCACCGAGCCATCCACCGACGTTCACCTCAACCTCCGACCCAACAAGATTGGAGTATTTGTCGACTTTGATCGAGGACAGGTTTCCTTCTACAACGTGGACGCCAAAATCCACATCTATACGTTCAACGACACGTTCACAGAGTGCATCTTCCCGTTCTTTAGCCCCTGCACCAACAGATCCGGAAAGAACGACGGGCCGCTCGTCATCACGCCAGTCGACGTGTCGGAATGAACCAAACCAATAAGTCCCGTTCCGCCGCCGCACTTGATTTCACGTTGATTCTTCTTGCTGGATTTCTTCAATCGATTAAAACGGTGTCCTATTTCAAAGTTATTCATGCAAGCATTTAAAAAAGCAAAGACAATGTACAACTTGATGATTGTAACTGAAATGATCTTTTTTTTTTTTTACTGTTGCAAACAATTTTTAATTCTCTCAATTTTGTGAAATTACTGACTTTAATGCAGGGATTGTGGGGAGGGGGGTGAGCTACTAGCTACTAGCATTAGCATACTTCGTGGGCATGCCACCTCAATCCTTCATTGTGACGGGCTTGAATAGCACATGCCCACAGTTGCTTCATAACTTCAACACCACAAATTACAAAGTGGAGTGAAACTTGATTGTAACGCAGCGAAACAAGCAAGCCTTGATTCAGTCTTCGATTCTAATCACAAAAAAAAAAAAAAGTCAAGTTTCAGCATCTAATGTCAGTTGATGCGGTCCTGCTTCAGTTGAGACTTGGCCTTCGCCTTCTGCATCAGAATGTGCTCGGCAAACTCCCGGACGACGCCGTTGCCGCCCACGCAGCGGCAGGTGTACTTGCATGCGTTGATGGCCACCGTCGGCGCGTCGGCGGGCACAGCGCTCAAGCCGGCCAGGTTGAGGCAGTCCACATCCGGTGCGTCGTTACCTGACCACAGACGGAAGGACGTCAGGGAGGGCGGCTTGGAAAACGTACATGTGCCGTTTCCCCAAGTTGTCAACAGGGATGCAAACAGAGAGCCGCATTACCCATGTATGCCACATCCTTCCAAACCAACTTCCTGGACTCCAACGCGGACGCCAAATCGTCGATGGGCTCGGCTCCCACCCGCATCACCTGGCAGCCCGTCCACTTGGCCAATTTGTCGGCCAACGTCTGCTCCACCGGGTCCTCGGAGGAGGTTAACAGCACCACCTGCGAACGAGCGCGCGCGTCAAGTGGAGAAGAGCCGGGAGGCGGCTCGGCAGGGCCGCGTGCAAACGACCTCCACGTCCTCTTTCTGCAGCATGCGGATGGCGGCGGTGTCTCGGCTGTTGATGGACATCATCTCGTCTCCGCCCGCCGACAGGTAGATCTTTCCGTCCGTTAAACATCCCGACACTTTACAGAACATCAGGCGAACCACTTCCGGAGTCCCCCGGCCAAAGTAGCCGTATCTGCGAAACGGTGCACCGAGTTGGACATGCCTGATCTACAGGAAGTACTTGATTTGTTTTTTACCTGAGGACCCTCTGCTCTGCGACAGGCCAGTCGATGTCGACGTCAATGTCCACGCTGTACTCTGGAAGCATCTCGTAGTAGGAGACCTTCCCACTCTGGACAACAGAGGTCTTGTTCAGTCTTGTGCTCTCATAATTCCTTTGGAGGAGTCCCACGACACAGCAACTGTTTGGAGTTCACCTGCGGGTGCCCCTGCACGATGAGCTCTCTGGTGTTAATGTAGAATGAGCCGTTCTCACACAGCTCGCCATCCCAGTCCTGACGCCGAGGGCGGTTGGATGGGTCCAGGTTGAAGGCTTTGGTCAATTCACGACCTGAGGGGAGGAGCAGCAATTTTGAAAGGACAGCGGCGAAACGAGTGGCACGGCGCGGAGGGTTCTCCTACTTCCTTTCTTGACCTCCTTCCAGCGGAACTGGTGCCTGCGGACCACCGCGAAGACAGAGTCATAGTCATGCAGGGTGATCAACTCCAAGGCCTCCTTGAGGTGGAATGGGTGGAGACACGGCGACGTGGCCTGGATGTGGCACACGATGTCCACCTCTGCAAACAAAGAAAAACGTTCCTTTTCCGCAGAGCTTCTGCTCAACAAAATATTCAAAGCCCGCCATTTCGTACGTGGATTGAGTCGGATAAACTCCTGCATGGTCTCAAGCGACGACGAAGAGTCTCGGGAGACTTCGGGACTCCGGCGGTGAACTTGGGCACCCCAAGCCAAGGCCACCTCCTCGATCTTGTCATGATCAGTTGACACCCAAACACTATGTACAAAATGTGGACAGACGTTTAAAAGAAAAGAAAAACACGAGGACAAGGCACAGCAACTTTATCCGTATTGTTCATTTCATCCACAAGGTAACTCAATATGCTAAATCAAAAGTATTTACAAACAAGATTTGAAGACATTTAAAAGCAAAATAAGTAATAGCTTCATAAAATTACTAACAGATAGTGCAAAGAACATGATTTTGGAGAACATGACTTTTAAAATGCTTTGAAAGAGCACAGTTCATAACCTGGATTTAAAAGCATTCACACTTGAGGATGACTTCACTCCTGTTCCATTTCCATGCAGCATAACAGCCCAATGCTGCTTCACCTTGTTTGCTTTTAATGCGAGGCTCCACTAATTGACAAGATTTTGCAGGCCTTTAGAGCCCTACTGTGTTTGTATTTGAGAGGCATTTCTTGAACAAGAATCTAAAGCTTTCAGCGATTTATAGATCAGTAGCAGAGTTTTAAAATCTCTTCTACATCTGACTAGTAGCCAGTGGAACACCTTTAGGACTGGAGTATCATGTTCTGATCTTCCATGGAGCCTTTGCACCGAATGTCATTGCTGTTCTGCCTATATTACAGATGCTGAAACACGAAAGCTCCTGTAATATCTACAAGACTGCATGACTGGCATATTTCACTGCGGTTGATAAGACCTTTTATTCAGTTGTCAGCAAGATAATCCCGCCCTTTGTTGTGACAGAAATGCCACCCAACCAACCTCCGATCAGCTTCACTGAAAATTTTTTTTGAAGCCCAACGCAAACCGATGCTGTCTGCATCTGATCTCAAGTCGTTTGTTTGGGTATGCACACACACACACAAAAAAAGGCTGAAACAACCAAAGGAGCAAGGCTTTAGTTTTTAGTTCGGTTGACAAGTCACGGGGGCTGCAAAGCATGCCGGCAAACGTGCAGCTTCACCATCGCAACAATATATCAGGTGGGCGTACCTGTCAAACAGTTCGGAGTCCACCGCTGCTCTGAGGACCCATCCGATGAGCGGCACCCCGGCTAGCATCTTGATGTTCTTCAAGGGGATCCCTTTGCTTCCGCCCCTCGCCAGGACGAGTGCGGCGATGTGTCGTTTCCCGCTTCCCGCCTTGCTCAACTTGCCACCGGCCCCCTCACCGCCGGCCATCTCTTCGCCGGCCACAAATCGCTTCCGGGACGACATAATGGATAAGAGCAGAAAGTTATGTCGATACGGAACAACAGGGAAAGTCTGAAAAGGGCGTGTGCTGACGGACGCTTCCAGGTTGGGCTCTTCTTCGGCGCTCCAGATACAGGAATGCTCATTGTTGCTCCCTGTTGGTCAGTTACAGTAAAGCATGTTTGGAATTGAGATGATCGACATGACATGAGATGTTTGTTTGTGTGTTTGGTTGGTTGGTTGTTTGTTTGGTTGGTTATATAAACCAACCATTAATTCATCCAACCTTCTTGGTCAAAAGGCAGATAACTTTTGGCCAAGAGGCGGCTTACAAAACACAAAAGCACAAGACAACTTATGGAGTGGTCAGCAGTCAATGTCAGGACACATGGAGACAGACTGTCACTGTTCGGCACTAAGTACAACAGTCTCTTTCAGAAACATACACACTGACAGGTATGCTACCTGACCAGTATTTCCTCCTATCATGGAGGAATTAGGCTCAAATGAAATAGAGTATATGCATGCAAGTAGTCGCTCACAGTTGACTCTCCCATCCAAAAAGTTGAATGTGTGCAGTTGTCAACTATAGAAAAGCTTGTCCATGTTGGGCAAAACCAGTGAAAGGGAAGAGGTTGACGGTCATGGAGATGTGGAGGAAGTCCCTGTGCTCTGAAGGCCTAAACTCCTTGGACCGCCCGGGCAGCATACCACACACCCATCAGCCTCTCCTACGTGACGCATGTACACTGGAGCCGTTAAAAGCATTGCAGCTTGTGTGAGCATTTAGCCCAATATTGTGCAGTGCCAAACATTCCATGTAGTCCCCTCCCCCACCCACACGACATTAATTGTAAAACATCAATTAATGTATGGGAAAGGGGGATATATATGAGTAGTGCAGATACCATTGAGTCAAGTGAGAATTTCATGTAGCAAATCTGAGAGTACAAGACTTGTTCGTCAACACTGTGGCAACTCTTACATGTGTGTGACCTCACCTAACCGCTTACGTGCTATGAGAGCTAAGAGGCATGCTATTTGTTTTAGCTTGTATTTTTTAAAAGTTAGTTTACCTTGTGTTTTTAGCTTCCTTTTTGTCATATAATTTACTTGATTCAACCATGCGCATTGGTTGCACATGATTAAAACGTGAGGCAAAGAGGGCTAAATTATTTAACACATTTTAATCAGGTGTATTTACAGCTTCATTTTTTTTTCTTATGAGCTAGCCACGGCCATTGTTTGTTTTTTTCCCCGCTTTGTTTGCCACTCAGCAAAATATGCATTTTTGAGTGTTTAGCTTTCATATATATGTTAGCTTGAAAAAAATATGTTAAAAAAAGTCATTTGAATTCTCTTAATTCAACTCAACTCAACTGTATTTATAGAGCACACAAAGAGCTGTACACAATTCGACGATGTGCATCAGTTGCACATGATGAAAACGTGCTATTATTCCGTTAATTTGGAAGCCATGAGGGTTGAACTCTTTACCACAATTTAATCATGTGCAACCGACAAATAAGTCTTTTTAGTGTCATTTTTAACTTCCTTTTTTTTTCTTGTGAGATACTCTTGCCCCTTGTTTTATATTGTTTTTTTTCTTTCTTTTGTTTCTGTCCACTATCGTGAGCAGCGGGCCCATTTTTCAGCGCGATGGAGATTTGTGACGATGACGCGGGCGAGTCCATTTGCAGCCCTCCTTCGTGGCACAGTGGAAAAGGCGGGCGAACCGGTCGAGCAGGTAAACTGAGGCCTCCGCCCCGAAGAGAGCGACTCCCTTCTCCCTGCTTCTTCTTTTTCTTCCTCTCCTTGTCACCGTTATTTCTGAGGCGCATGCGCGCTGCCGTCGCTCGCCCTGTTCTCAAAGCGACTACCTGTGCTCCCGTGCGTGGCCGTACCGCTCGATCCGCCAAAAGTTATCGCGACCCCGGGGCTGCTCGCGTGTGCGTGTTGGTGCGTGGACAGTCGTCGTCGCACCCCCCCTCCCTCCGTGCGGGGAATAACGGACTTTAGCTCAGGTGGACTCCTCACCTGCGTGCCACTTGGCGGAGGGAGAAGAAGCTCAGGTGTGCGCAGGCGGAGGAACAAGAAAAGAAGACGAAAGGAAGAAGAAGAAAAGAGTTGGACTCAACATGCCCCGAGCCTTCCTGGTGAAGAAGGCCAACGTTTCGCCGGGCAAGCGGAACTGGAGCGAGGTGCCGGACCACGAGCGAGGAGACGTTTACATCCCAGGTGAGAGCTCGCTAGCCGGGCTGGGAGCTCTCCGGTTCCGCCTGCTCTCGGGTCCCGACCTAGTGGGGGGCGGGTGGGGGCAGCGTTCTAACGGGACCGAGCGGCCGAGTAACGGGTTCAAAGCAAATGGCAAAAGACTGATCGAACTCCTTTATTCATGTAAACACCGAAATATATTTCCGAAAAGTAGAAAAAATACCGTTCCATACCTGTTTTGCAAATTTATGGGCTAGGGGTGGGGGCATTTCTCCACCAATTAGTTGTATGAACGTGATCACTGAGGTGGGGGAAACACTGGCCAATCAAAACAACATCTTTATTAACATTCGCTGACACCAACAGCAAAAATGATCAATTAGTTCATGACAACAACTGAAAAAAATGCATCTTAACTCTCTCTTTTTTTTTAAACTATACAATTTTTGAACATGCACCTCAAGCTGGTGGTTTTGCAGGCTGGCACGAGACAGAACACATTCATTACAATACAACATTAAAAAATCTCTTAAATGAGGCTAGCGATTAGGGCTATCTTTCTTCTTCAAATCTCTATTTACCGCTCTCTAGTTATATATATATATTTTTTACGTGGGGTTTGGGGAAAAAAAGTCATGATCTGTCAAAAGTACATGTATCTGCGAATGTGAGTAAATGTAAAAAGTGGTCAGAACTTCACATGAAAAAAAAAATCAACATACAGCTTGCAAATTTACTGACAAAGTATTTGTACTTCGTTAATTCCCACCACACAGCGGGAAACAAATTCCAGGCGTCTGTTATTCCTGCTCAAATCATTATAACAATTTTAAAAAATGTATACTTTTGCCCCCCCGCACCCCCACTTGCTGTTGCTTTGCCCTCCTGCTCCCTCTCAACACACCAACTTTACATTGAAGCGCACCCCCTCAAGACAACAATCCCCATTGTTGCGTTTGACTGTCAACATCAGATAACAAATAACAGACGACACCCATTACTTTGTCATCATTGCTCTGCATGGATCACAACTACTAGTGTGGCATCTTAATGTGCAGGGTGGGCCAAAAGAAGTGGTACTCTTATCAAAATAGTTTTTTTTTTTTTAAATTTGAGGGAAGGAAGGCAGAAAACCAAGTGTAAGGCTGAACAATGAATCCCATTGACAAAGAATACACTTTTCAAATGTCAATGGCTGCAATTTGGAAAGAGGAAAAAAAACCTCTTCTTCATCACTGTTGGTTGGTAGGCTTTATTTTTTCATATATGTATATTTCATTTATTTATTAGTGTCTGGATAAGATGCATGCATAAGAAGTGCGGTGCAAATCCTGATTCTTTACAAATCATCATTTCATGAAACATAAAAAGTTGAGGTGATGACACAGCCACACATTTGTTTGCATGATTGTTGTCATCTGATTTATGACTAACTGTACTTGTGTTACGCCACACGTTTCTTTGGTAGAATTTTTTCGAAGATGTCGGAGTGAAGGCTGAAAAGACTGCGATTCATAGTGCTCAGTCAGTTAAGTGTAATTGCATCGAATTCGAAAAATAAACTTGTTTGGTTGACTCTCTTTTAGCGGAAGCCTAACCTATCAAGCTAAAATGTTTATGCATCAATGTATTTGTTGAAAAAAAATCCATGTGAAGAGGACATTGAGAAAAAAAAAACACCTATTAAATCTCACTTGCAGGATTGAGGGGGAAAAAAATGTCATTCGATTGTTTTTCAAAATTGGTCAGCCCTAGTAAGCAGTAGAAGGAAGGAGGATGTATGAATAATTTTCTGCACACTCAAAGCTGATTCCACCAAGCCCAACAACGGTCTCCACCAGACTTGTGGTATGTGCCGTTACTTGCTCTACCTGCCCGACCCGTGTAGGTTTAAATGTGTGCCTGTGTGCAAAGTTCCAAAATCACCTGGAGTGTTTTTAACTTGACAGTCTCCAGCATTTGTTATTTTCTAAATTCACCAGAAATCCTCTTCATGTCAATGAGCAGCGTGTTGTTTTCATGGAAATAACTTTACGTCCAATCCAATCGCTTTTTTTGAATCCTCAACAACAACGCTTTGAACTTGACACTGACATTTCACGTTTAGCCTCACTTTAAGCTAACATGCTAAGCTAGGCATCCTGGGCATTGTTACTTGCCCGTGACGGGTATGTTTTGGTACGTACAATCTTGCCGTTTCTTTGTCGAAATCTCTCCATTCGTCTATTTTCCTTGACGCTGACGTTTCGCTGTTATGACTCATGATAAACTAACATGCTAACCGAGTATTTTATATAAAAGTGAGTGGCTTCCTCGTTGGACTCTCACCTCCACTGCCTCTGGTGGACAAAGGATGTAACAACAAAACATAATTAACATGTTGGGTTATTTTGATAGATCAAGTGTGCGCGTGTGTGTGTGTGTGTGTGTGTGTGTGTGTGTGTGTGTGTGTGTGTGTGTGTGTGTGTGTGTGTGTGTGTGTCTTACACTTCCTCCACAAGGTTAATGTTTATTGGACGCCAGGAGTTATAACGGACCCTGCAGACGCTATACACCTTGAGCAAACACACCCACACGTGCACGCACACGCGCACACACACACACACACACACACACACACACACACACACACACACACACACACACACACACGCACACTCACATGCGCACGCACACGCACACACGACCAGACTCTCCCATCTGAACGAGCTTGAATGACATGAAAATATGAAGTGCGAATTATGCTAACAAGTCACGTCAAGTTTTCCCTCTTCTCTCTTACTTACCGACCCCCACCCCAACACCACCAGTGCTACACACGCACACACGTGCATTCATTCTTTGGCAAAGGGGGCGGGCTGAGCAAACAATAAGATGAGATTAAATATCCAGCCTGCAGCAGTCACCACGGAAACTATCGGCACTCATTACAAAGATGTTTAAGCGCTCAATGTCACCACTTCCAGATTGTGACGTGTCACAAATAGGCGAGCTCCCCATCCAAAAGGCCCCCTTTAGTTGACAATAGCTGCAGAGCACACCATTTGCATCGCCTATTTGCATTTCACTTTGGGTTTCGTGTGGGCACACACACACACACACACACACACACACACACACACACACACACACACACACACACACACTAAGATGAAAGGAGCTGGTCCTGCAGGCCTGTCTGGTCAGACGGGTCCAACATGGTTTCTTCGTAGTGTCTACTCATAAGTTACCGTTCAAAGCTTCTGCTTAAAAAAAGATATGACTAACGTCCCCCCCCCCCCCCCCAAAAAAAAATCTTTGTTCAGTCTCCATCTTCCCGCCGTCCGTCTTGATGATCGAGGACAAAGCAAGTCCAGCGGAGGTGGCGCCGCTCTGCTTGGCCAAGCAATCGCTGCCCGAACGGCAGGCATACGCCGAGCTACCGTCCTGCACAGCGCTGGGCCGGCCACTGAGTCCGACGGCCCACCCGGATGAGAGGACGGAAGCCTTGAGGAAGTCGCATGGCGGTCTGGTGTTTGTCCGCTCCAAAATAAAGGTGAGGAGGCTCGGCTCGCTTTCATTTCTACAGAATAGGTTGCCGATCCATCGGTCTGGTTTGATGCGTTTTCGGGCTTTGCTGGGATCAACTAAACTTTACATGGTTTGCCTTTCGAGCTTGAACTGTTCTGAGCAACCAATCAGAGTTTGGAAATTTTTTAACAATTGTGGGCCCTGTGAGGTGAATTTGAAATCTGATTGATTGAAGAAACAGTCCCATTGCTAATATAGTTGCAGTTCTATGGGCCAGAACTGCTGATTCTGAAAGCCACCGGTCAGATTAGATTGACATGCCAACTAACACCTCATTGGCCCAAAAAATCTGACATCCACAGCAGCCTGCAAAATGTAAACGGATGAGGCTCTGATAGACCAGTATAGACAGGAAGTAGCTTCTTTGTTTCCCATTTCAGGTGACCACCGGCGAATTGCTATCTGACCCCGACCTTCATCTTACAACCTTGAACCCGCTGATGCTGCCACACGCCACCGAGACACCCGTTGCCATGACGACAGTGTCCACCCCTGCCGGGTTTGCCTCCTCGGTGGTACGATCGCCGGGTCAGACCTCCGTGAGCGGGACGGCTCCGCCTTACGCTTGTCAGGTAACCCCGGGACCACCTTCTTGGGTGCGGAGCTTTTGTGGGGTGGGTGGGACGCTGGTGCACATCTTAACGTCCGTCTTTTGTTTGGGTTTAGATTTGCCACAAGACGTTCCAGTACCAGCGCATGTTAAACAGACACATGAAGTGTCACAACGAGACCAAGCGCCACCTGTGCAGCTTCTGCGGTAAAGGATTCAACGACACCTTCGACCTCAAGAGGCATGTGCGCACACACACAGGTATGTCACATGGGCACAAGATAATGTCCTCTTAAGGTCCAGATACTAGGATGACAATTCAGCACTTACATAGAACAGGGCCGAAAGTGGTAATAGTAGTGGTAAAAATGTGCCTACTTAGACACAGTTGTTCGTCCCGGAGCGCCACATCATTTTTCTAGTAAGGACAAGGAGATTCCTGGTACGCGGACCTCAAGATGGATATCGACAATATTCCAAACAGCTTTCCATACGCACCGCGCCAAGATGTTGACGTCTTTGTCCGCGCAGGAGTGCGGCCGTACAAGTGTGAGCTGTGCGACAAGGCCTTCACGCAGCGCTGCTCGCTGGAGTCCCACATGAAGAAGATCCACAGCGTGACGCTGCAGTACGCCTACAAGGAGCGCCGCAACAAGCTGTACGTGTGCGAAGAGTGCGGCCACACGGCGGCCACCCAGGACGAGCTGCTCCTGCACCTGCACTCCATGCACCCCGACAGTGCCCTCTTGAAGGGCAAGGGGGCGCGGCGGGGGGTTGGGGGAGGGGACGGCGAGTCCACACCAGGCTCCCCGCAAGGAGCCGATAGTGACGACACCACCGGATCAGCAGGCCAGTGATGTGAGGACAAGGAGCCAAAAGGACTCATTGCAACGAGTGTGTGTGTGTGTGTGTGTGTGTGTGTGTGTGTGTGTGTGTGTGTGTGTGTGTGTGTGCGCGTGTGTGTGCGTGTGTGTGTGTGCGTGTGCGCGCGCGTGCATTATGTACAATATGTGTATGAAAAGCACAACAAGCAGTTTGATTTCTCCATGGGATTCGCCTGGGATTACCTATAAACATATTTTTACACTTTTTTACTGCATGTGAATATGACCCGCGGGACTTATTATAAGGCAACTTAATATGAATTTTCTATGAAAAACAACTTTATTGATTAAAAGGGACATTGAGATGAAATCACAATGCAGTTCTCTTGGTGTTGTATTCATCAAGCGGTTCTGCAAACACTTGCAAAGCGGAGACGCCGATCACGTGACCGAGCTGGATGAGAGGGTGCGGTCGGATTCCTGGTCTCTTGTCAGGTCTTGTTGGAGGAATCCAGCAACTGCCTTCTTAGCTTGAGGACATGTGAAGGAGGACGCATGGATAACGGTATGGAAATTCCACATGGGACGATCGCAACAGGGTAACTGTCAGGAAAAGTCAATCAGATAAAATGTGAAATGACTCACAAACCAAATACGTGGTTACAAAAGACTATCCTTTCATTCATCAAATCATTCAAATTGAAAATGTTCACAAAATTCCATGTGTGTGACGTGTTATTGCTGATTTTATATCGACTTCCTTGAAATGCTGTAACGTGCGGAATGAATAGCTTGCTTTGTTTTCACATGCGACTGCTAGTTGGGAAATGACCGCTAGGTGGCAATGTTGCCGTAGTTTTCTCCTCTTCCTTCTTCTTCGTGACAAACCAGGAAGTCACGCCAAGGTAACATCTGATTGGACCAGAAAGCGCATGGCAAACTTTGTTAAGATTGAAAAGGTACGTTTGACTATCCGGAATTTATATGATTGGTGATTTGCGGACGGAGTCACCTTCCGTGTCTCCAAGACCACAAGCATGAGCGCCGTCTCATCTGTGCGTGACACCCTGCAATTAGGTGACTACTCTGTGACACTCCATTTGTGATGTCATCCAGCGACATGTCCGCCTCCGAGCCGGTCCAGATGGGCCGAAAACGTCCCGTGCCCGCGTGTCCGAATCCGCTGTTCCTCAAGTGGCTCACTGAACTCCGAGACGAGGCCAAAGAAAAAGGCCTGAAGATCCAGTACGTTTATCAGAAGGTCGGTTGCTGCAAAAACACCCTGGCTCGTGATATGCTACTACATTTGGGGTTCGAATGTTGAAAAGAATTATTATTCCTTGATATATTTTTTTTACTCACATTTTCCTAAATACTCCTTGCAAATGACCGCCCACACAATTAATCACCTTTTAAAGATGATGAGCTGAGAATACATTTTTTTAACCAAACCTCCCAATTACAATACATTTTTATTGACATAGCACTTTCAAAACAGCTGCAGCTGTAACAAAGTGCTTTACAGAACATTTAACCTAAAATAACACATTCATAGAGCAGATATGCAAATTTTTCACACAACGGCGTTTCAAAACATTTTATACTTTCTAAAGTGGTGGTGGTTTCCCCAGTGTGGGACAAATAAAGGATATCTTATCTTATCTTATCTTATCTTAAAGAAGTGAAAATAGTCATTTGTTTACTTAGCAGCATGTGGAGGTCTTATTTACTGAAATCAAAAGTTGTTGGAAAAAAACAAAACGTCTCAACAGGTCAAGTTACGTTTTAATATAGGCCTTTTTTTTCCCCTCGCATCTTCACAGTTCTTAAAGCCAGTGAACTTTTGGAGAAGTCCTGATTGAATTCCTTTGCAGAGTGTGAGAGTAGCTTTCTAGACCTGCTGTTTGACATGTAATTTATTTTGTATTATAACCATATCAAATAAACAAATAAGCCAATAATAAACTATTTGGGAAATACCGAGAAAAATATCATTTGAATGTTTGATTACTCAACCAACTAAGATTGAGCAATATGACCTGAAGATGGAAAAAACATGCAATTCAATTTTCTGTTTTTATTCTGATTTATTTCACAAATACATTTAAATTAATCGGGGGAGGCTAGGACGCGCCCATACCTGCAACCAACCATTATTGTTGTTTGTGTGTTTGTAGGCCATCAATTCTCTGAATAAATATCCTCTTCCACTTCGGGATGCCAGAGAGGCCAAGATCCTGCAGAACTTTGGAGACGGCATATGCAAGATCCTGGACTCAAAGCTGCAACAACACTACAGAGAGTGCGGTGAGACCCACAGAACATACACAATAACTCAGACGTTGTTTTTTTTCCGGTTCACTTTTGCCGTGTGATGAAATAATGGAAGTTAATTTGTGGAGTTTGATAGCTGATTGGTTCAACTTGAGAATAATTGAAACAAACAAAAAAAATTGCAGTAGGTAACACAATATATAGAAACATAAAATCAAAAGTAACAAACAAACTATACATATGACAACAAATCTTAAGAATGTAATACAAAATAGTAGACAAAAAAAATGCAAAATATTAGTTGACAAATATGAGATGAACATGCAACGGGTGAATTCTTGTTTAAAATGACAAGAAATAAACTCACAAAATAATGCAAAAATGATGAAAGAAAATACAAAATGCTGCAACAGGCATTAAGAAAATACAAATTAGTCGACACAAATTACATATTAGGAACAAAAGATGATAATGACCAAAATACCAGATCAAAATAACTAAATAAATAAATAAATTATTGGACACAAACCTATATCGATATTACAAGAAATTAAAAAAATATATATTGGGGGGAAAAAAAAGCACAAATTACTCAAAAGTAGATGAGACATACCAAAATAACAGTTCAAAAAGAAAAAAAATGCGAGATGAAAAAAAAACAAATATTACAAGAACTGAACACATGAAGTGATCGAAAATAAGAAAAGTAGACAAATCTCGGCCACAAATACACCAAGATGAGAACTAAAACAGTGCTACACAGACAATAATAAAATGTAAAGAAAATAATGCTGAGGATCATGATTTCATTTGTAACTGTAAGACAAAGCGTGTGATTGATTTGAAGCGCGTCATGTGTGGGAAAAGAGACAAAACGTTGTGGTTTGAAACAGCAAAGTCCTACGTGGCGGTGAACGTGGCCTCGTCCCTCCTTTAGGCGAGGACATCGCCCTCAGCAAAGAAGCGTCGTCGCCTGCTGTCCCCTCCGACGACAAAAGTCCACGTGCCAGCAGGAAGGTGACACAGGATTCAAAACATCTCTTTTTTTCTTTTTTTGCGAAATGACACCCGGCTTTCAGCCAAGTTGTGTTTGGCCGTGTCTATTCAGCGGCCTGTGAAGTGCTACCTCCATGAGTGAAAAGTGTTCTTTATGTCATCATCCAACCATGGCTTTCTGTGTCAAATCACCCAGGACCAGAAACTAGAAAGAGCGGTGACCAAGAGAAAGAAAAGGGAGTACATGCCTCAAAAAGGATCCGGCGGCTACGCCGTGCTGCTCGCACTTTACCGACACTCGCAGGTAATGTGATCGCCGTCTCGCCGGGTTTCTTTATTTGACAGCGCAAAGAGCGAGCGGCGTGTCTCTGTGCAGACGGCGGGCAGTAAAGGTTTCATGTTCAAGATGGAGCTGCAGGCCCAAGCGCAACATCTTTGCCACAAATCCTTCACGGTGGTCAGTTCCCGTTAAGCCTCTTGAATTCCAGATAGACTTCTTGACCCTCTGGACATTTACGCTTTCTCCGCCCGTAGCCCGAGCTCGGGAGCAAGTATGCGGCCTGGTCGGCGGTCGCCACCCTGGTCAAGAGGAACCTGCTGATGAAGACGCACAATCCTGCGCGGTACTTTTTCATTTGAAGACGAATATACGGTTTTCCATGACTTCTTTTCAAAAAACAAATCACGTGTACAAAACTAGTAGATCCCCGGAATACGAAAATATTTTAAAAAAAAATGCAAATATTGTACAAAAAATGCTAAATTTATTCAGACAAAAATTTACCAAATGATAGAAAAGATTCACAAAAATTTGATGAAAATCTCCCCCAAATTTGACACAAAATATATCAAAGTTTGAAATTAGAAATGGACTTAACCAGATGAAAAACACAAACAGTAGACAGGAAAATACACAAAGACACCATCCATCTATTTAAGGGGGTGGGGGGTGGGGGGCAAAAAAATTGCAAAAATAAATGACATATTTCATGTGAACATTTCTCCCTGGCTGACTGGCATCTCACCTTGGCAGTTACTCTCTGACGGAGGAAGGCGTGTCTTTGGCGCAGCGTCTGCATTCAGCTGCCTGTGATTCCAAACCGCCTCTGGAGGACAAGGACGATGACAAAGAGGAAGAGGAAGGTTGTCCTGTGACCGTGGACCTCACTGTGAGTGAGGAAGAGGAGGAGGATGGCGAAGGCAGATTAGCGTAAGTAGGGGATGGAAATTAGCGTCCTCTGGTGGTAGCTTGGGTGCTTGCAAAGTCATTCTACAATTAGTTACAGTATTACATCTTGTCATTTGAAAAAGTGCATATGGGAAGCGTTGGGCTTTTGAAATGACCCAAGTGTTCTTCTCTCAGACCGAGCTGCGAGGCAGCAAGCGGCGGACGACTCCTGGCAGGGACCTTCGATATCGTCCTGTGCGTTGACGTCAGCGAGACGACCGGGTAAGCGCAGTTAGCGCGAGCTGCCGTGTTTTCATCTCATTCAGCCGCCGCCTTTCAACACGTGGCGGTGCGCCTGCAGCGGCAGCAGCCACCAGTGCAAACAGGAGCTGGTCACGGAGCTGCGCAGGCAGCGCATCGACTTTGACGTCAGGAAACTCCACGTGGGCGACTTCCTGTGGGTGGCCCGGGAGAAAGTCACGCCCGCGTCAGGTGGGATTTCTGCTCTCGGCCAGCCTTGCCGCCGCCCGCTTGTCCACACTAACACGAAACATTCCGCAGGTCACTCGCGAACCGGCGCAGAGAGGGAGCTGGTCCTCGATTACATCATCGAAAGGAAGCGGATTGACGACCTGTGCGGTAGCATCATCGACGGACGCTTCAGGGAGCAGAAGGTCCGCTAAGAACAACTTCTAAACCGTAACATGTTTACATTTTGGCTTTGCGACACCAAGACAGCGCTTAACAATTGTTCAATTTTGCCTCACTCATCCTGCCAAAAGTCAGACCTTCAAAATAAAATCTTGCAATCGAATGAGAGTCTCACGACAGTTTCTTGGGTCACGAAATAGTTTTGAGTGGACAACTTACTGGCATGCGTCCATTTTGAAGGCCTGACATTTGACTGGAGGTTTCACAGATGTTGCCGAGCAGGCCGTGAAACTTGTAGTTGCCTTCAGTTGTTCGGAAAAGTGATTGTGGAATATGCTTTTTACGCAGTACGTCAAAGTTGTGGGCAGCAGCCATTTGATAGATGGTGAGAAACAGAATTCAAAAAAGAACTCACAAAATGCCTCCCAGTCTCTTGCCTCCTTGCTCTGGGCCAGAATTGTCAAGTTCCGGTCCTGCACGTTTTCGATGTTTCCCTCCTCCAACATACCTGATTTAAATGATCAGGATGATATCAGGCTCCTGCAGAGCTTGCTGATAATTTTAATCAGGTGTGTTGGTGGAGGAAAACTTCTAAATCATACGGAATATCAGCCGTCGAGGACGCTATCAAGTTTTTAGTATTGATAAAAATGATCTTCAGTGTTTATTTATCCATTTCATTTGTAATTTCTATCTGACATTGTTCTACTGCATCAAGTTATTTCCTATAATAAAAAAAGTCTTGATATTTAGGCATCTGGAACAGATTAATTGGATTTAAATTATTTCCTATGGGAAAGATTGCTTTTGGATTTCGTTTTTCATCTCACTTTATGGAACAGATTCATATCACCAAAACTTCCACAGTCTGCACGCACTGCACATTTTTAATTGTTTTTTATTTATTTTTAAGCTTTATTTTTTTATTTTTATTTGTTTTTGTTGTGTTCCCTGTGTCAGTTTCGCATGAAGAGGTGCGGCCTGCGCAAGCCCATCTACCTGGTGGAGGGATTCGGGAAGGCGGCGTCCCACCTGAGCCTCCCCGAAATGACGCTGCAGCAGGCCGTCGTCAACGAGCACGGCGCGTTTAGAGTGGAATGGGAAAAACAAACACGTGATGGTACGCGAGGGTTTGACAAATTGGGGAGCCACAAACTTTAAGTATCGAATAAGAACCGAATCAACAATTCTCAAATGGCGACAAAACGACGCGAGGGTTTGACAAATTGGGGAGCCACAAACTTGTAAGTATCAAATAAGAACTGAACCAACAATTCTCAAATGGCGACAAAACATGCAGAAACTAATGCAAAAAATATTAGTCAAAAATACACAAATACCAAACAAAAAAATATGAAAAAAAATCTCAACACATTGCATCCATATTACAAATATGAGATGGGACATGCAAAATTATTGCACTGGGGGAAAATGTAGAAATATTAGCATAGAGCACCTAAATTAAATCGAAAATGTACCAATATTAGACACAAAAAAAACACAAATAGTAGCTAAAAATACAGAGAATAAAAACATTCACAAGGTGAGGGAGACAAATAAAAAGTGTTTTTTTTTGTTTTGATTTTTTAAGCAAAATTATTCGATTAGTAAAAAAAAAACTATTTGGAGAAAAATAGGAAAAAAATGGATGAGTAAAATTTCTCGATACAGAAATAGTCATCAAAAAAATACTGTATCCATTTTAAAATGTTATTTAAGAGACACATGTATTGGATAAAATGCAAATATCAGGGAAAACATTTGATGTTAAAAATGAAAATGAATGGAATGAACGAATTGAATGTTTTGTGAAAGCGTGTGACCTGGAATCCTCAGAAACGCACGCTGGTGTGCCACTCGCGTGAGCTGAACGGTGACTCGGACCGCCGCGACGACGGCGCCCCCTTCTCCTCCTCCTTGTTGTCTTTCGCCGAGTTTAATGACGGCGCCATCAAGAACAAGGTGAGCCGCCTGCTTTTCGGGCTTGCGTCCGGCACGCTTGAGTGACTGACGCCTTGCGCCTCGTCTCCGCTTTAGAGTCAGACGGTGCGTGAAGTCTTTGCTCGACAGTTGATGCAAGTGAGCGGCCTGTCCGCAGACAAAGCGGCGGCCATCCTGGAGAGATACAACACACCACACAGGTAGCAGCCTCGCTCTGCGAATACCGCGTGGCGCAAACGTGCGCCGCTCATCTCAAATCTTCCTGCCTCAGTCTCCTGGCGGCGTACGACGAGTGCGCAAGTGAAGCGGGCAAGGAGAAGCTGCTGTCCACCATTCGATGCGGGAGGCTCAACAGGTTGGCAAATAGCATTGCTAGTTTGCGACATTATGATCACACTTTAGGCAATGGATATTTGAACACAAATGGTACGCAACCACATCTAGAACAGACAAGATGACAACACTCACAGGCATGTATTCTTTATCCTCAGCAAAAGAAAAAACAGCTGTTCCTGCAGTTTACTGAGTCGCAGTAGTTGGGAGGGTCTTCTTAGTCTTCGTGACTGTATTATACTACCCCCTTCTGGACAAGTCACACTTTGGAGTCAATATAAAGTAGTCACCATGCACATACCGTTTAATGCTTGACATTCTATTGAATTCTGTGTTTGCAACATGTTTTTATAAAGTGCAATCATTTGAATAATTTAAAAAGCATGACAAAATTTGGATTGTTTTTTAAAAACTTTTTTCTGGGAAAGATTTTCATTTGTTTCAACGGGTAAAGGTGATTTGAATTACAATTTGGTGCCATTTTATGACATCTGGTGCCAATTACAAATCCTTGAGGCTCGTTGGGTGACAGACTTTCCCTTTGGTCCATTTCTGCAACCAATAAATCGTTTTGCCGTGATGTCACATACACACATGTAGGAGGTCCACGCAGTGTTGTGTTGCGGCTCTTGTTGAGTGTTGTAATAGAAAAGAAGTCTCCTGATCCCAATTACAAATCCTTGAGGCTCGTTGGGTGACAGATTTTCCCTTTGGTCCATCGCCAAGCTGGCGCACAAACAACTTCTTAGAAAGACGCTAAAACTCTGCCACTTTGTTTCCCCAAGGAATCTGGGTCCCGCTTTGAGCCGAACTCTCTACCAGCTATACTGCACCAAAGGAGCGCTGTCCTAAATCGTCTTGGATTTCAATGAAGGATTCTTGCTGCTACCATTTTTATTCAGTGCTGATACGGGATGGAGTCAAACCAATTGGAGCTTTGCATCCCAACCGTTGGTCGGAGTTGCTCAGATGAAAGTCACCTGGAAAACAACATAACCCTTCATGTGAAGAAGGGCCAAATTGATCGGAAATATGCGATACGTTGATGTGTTTATCTACAGAAGAAAAGAGTCAGATGAAAGTCACCTGGAAAACAACATAACCCTTAATGTGAAGAAGGGCCAAATTGATCAGAAATATGCGATACGTTGATGTGTTTATCAACAGAAGAGGAAGAAATGTGGTTAATTTTAAGTGGATGATTGTTGAGTGTTTCAAATGGTGTGTGCCATGTCAACCTGTTTTGTACATTTTTTTAAAATCCTGCTTTAAAATAAAATGTTTAATCCCACGTGTGTGCCATGTCAACCTGTTTTGTACATTTTTTTTTAAATCCTGCTTTAAAATAAAATGTTTAATCCTATTTGAAACAAAGCACAAAGTGGACGTTTGTGGTGATGGTCATACTTACGACGCGTATAAACGACATAACGACATCTTCAGAAGACGTCTCCATGAAATGATGATGTTAAGTGATCATCTCATTACCCCAAAACAATTTGTCCCTCCTCCCGCTGCTTATTTTACACTCAAATCACAGGTGGACGTTTGTGGTGATGGTCATACTTACGACGCGCATAAACGACGTAACGACATCTTCAGAAGACGTCTCCGTGAAATGATGATGTTGAATGATCATCTCATTACCCCAAAACATTTGTCCCTCCTCCCGCTGCTCATTTTACACTCAAATCACATCTAGAAATTAATTTGCTCACTATGTGGCTAAAATATGAAGTCCCCAAAGAAAGTTGTAGAACAAGGAATAAACCACTTACTTGGGACTAGAAACTATGTTACAATTTCCCTGGGCAGTTTTGCTTGCCCTTCAATCATTAATGAATTCATAGAAATGGATGGATAGAATTATTAGAAACAAAACATTTTCTTTGGTTTTTGACTCAGCATGAGAATCGGGATTGTTTTATTGTCTTAACTGTTTTTATCTTATTAATTTATTGGTTTTCCTGTCTTTGTTTTTATGTCTGATTTTTACTTTGAGTACAGCACTTTGTTCGCACTGCGGTTGTTTTAAAAGTGCTCTATAAATAATACAGTTGAGTTGAGTAATGTTACAACTGTTAGATTATGTCTTGCATTTTGCCTTAGGTTTGATTTTATGTGTACCCTTTTTTTTAAACAGCTGTTAAAATGCTCTCTATAAATAAAATTGAGTTGACAATGCAGGCTGATTCTCCCCGCCCCCAAACAAATTCGTGACAATTTTTTTTTAAATAAATATTGTTTAAATAACATGTTTTTCAAATTCAAAATTCTCCTAATCTTACAATGACACGAGTATCCATCCGTTAGCGTCATCCGCAGTCTGGATGGAGCATCTTCCCTCATGCATCAAGCTTAATATGCTTAGATGGAGAGCACGCGTTGTCTGGTCCTGTTGTTTCAAAATAAAGCCTCAACGTGGTTCAGAGCGCTAACGAAAAGCGTTGTGATCTGTCACAACGGATCGCTTTTGGTTCGGACTAAATTAACCTACAAGCCTGTGGACTAAATTAGTACTGTAGTCTTCTCGTTTCAACAGCTTCCAATGATTTTGGACATGTCGGCGTTTATTATTGTGAAAGAGCAAATAGTGTATTTCCGGCGTGCTCCTTCGCAGCGTCTGGCTTAGAGATGAGCAGTCGAACCTGAGCCGCTGATTCTCGCCCGTTACGGATAACGACCCACGGAGGACGGAGAGCGCATCGCCCCAGAGGTTGCTATTGTCTCACAAAGAGCATTTTGGAGTTGTATTGTGTCTCTTCGGTTGCCAGCGCTTGGACAGCTTCTTCTCTTCGTCCAGTCAGACGGAGCGGAGTCGCGCGGCGAGGTGAGGCTCGTTCCCCCGCCCTGATCTGCGCGCGCGTCTGGAGGACGGCGAACATCGGGACCAGCATCCGAGGTAGGCCCGGAGGAAAGGAGAGCAGCCGCGAGGTGCTTTCCGAGGAACCGAGGTGGGCACGGATTGACGGTTGCAACTCAACCTGGTCTTTTTTTTTTTTTTATAAATTAGGAGTGTGCGTGTTCGGATGTCGACCAGGCTCAGGACCAGCAGGACGGCCGTTGATTAACGTGCGTGTTTTGACATCATTGTCCCCCAGAAGTCCCAGAACATTCCCATCCTCACATCACCTTGTCCCATCTGTGATTCCGAGGCCCCAGTCACCCACATTTGGTGAACCCCCCTCACCCTCTCCCCGCCCCCTCCAACCATGGAGACCACCAAGCTTCCCCCGTCCAGCCCGTCCTCACCTACCAGCAGCTTCTCGGTGCCGTCAGCGGAGAAGGTGGACGGATTCGTGCGACGATCCATCCGCAGGGCGCGCCGAAGGAGGTCCCCCAGCTCGTCAAACTTCCGATACCAGAGCTCCGTGGTGGAGCTTACGCCCCTGCCCCTTCTCAAAGGTCAGTCAGTCCACACCTCCCTGAGAAAAACCAGAAGCACAGAACAATTGTTAATTGCCCAAAAGTTTCCGGTCAATTTCCTTGCAAAATTTCTGAGATGCCATATTGGAATCTTTTCATAACGACGTGGCTGCTTTCCGAATGAATCACGTCAGACGTATATGTTAAATGAGAGTCAGCATATATCTGCCACCATTTAAATGACCTCTGATGACCCGAAACGAAGTTCAGATGTCCTAGTAGAATTTTTTTTTTTTTTTTTTTTTTGCTCTCTCGAGCACAACCCAGAATGTTTTGTGCTATCAGGAACTGTTACTAAATGTTTTTTTTTTTTTTTTTTGCTCTCTTGAGCACAACCCAGAATGTTTTGTGCTATCACGAACTGTTACTAAATTGGTTTTCATCCACCCTTCATGCTTTGGGGGTTGTTTTTCTTCAGTTTAAGATGAAGGGAATTATGAACAGTTCTAAGAAGCACAAATCCTTCAGACATCTCTTCAAAAAAATGTTCAATTGACTAATATAGCTCTCATTACTGGTAGAAACACTTTTAAGATGATATATCCTGGTCTTATTAACTTTTACTTTTCAATAATATTTTATTCAACAGGATAAGCGGTACAGATAATGAATGGATGGATGTGCAATCACGTTTGGAAAACACTCGCTTGGCCAGTGTAACAATTCAGTCTCATTCACAGTACTGCAAGTGGAACACGGCTCGTACCATTTAAACACATCTAGCCACCACCTAATTAATAGCAACAAGTGAAGCACTGCTCATAAAATTGAGGTCTCTTGGTGGAAGCAAAAAGAAAAAAAAAGAATAAAAAGGCTGTCTCAAGTCACATGACAGTTTTTTTTTGTAGATTTGCCTCTCTGTACAGTGGCTATAAAAGGTCAAAACTTGTTCTAATGGCAGGTACAAAAAAATGAAACCGAGATGTATTATTTCAAACCTATAGCACACAACTGACACAAAGAAATTCCGTCGGGACGGGGAGTGTGGTTGCACAAGTGTGCACACCCTATTGTAACTGAGGATCTGGCTGTGTTCAGAATGAAGCAATCACATTAAACCTCATCTTAAATACACACCTGCCACACTGTTAAAGTGTCTCTCAGTAACCCCACATAAAGTTCAGCTGTTCTAGTAGGGCTGCCGAGAAGTCTTTTTTTTATTTTTATTTTTATTTTTATTGAATGCAAAGAGGTGATGATGTAATCAATTTACCAGTTGAGATGCAAATTAAGGCCATGGTCGGATCTCTCTCGCGAACACTTTAGCTCACGTAACATCTTTTCGACCGACGCATGCTCAAAGTACGGCGGGACAGAAGAAGGTTGAAATCTGTTTTCCAAATTGCTCTTGTTTTACATGTGATGTCATGGCGAAAAGGTCTGTAACCGTGTTCTTGTTTTTTTTTTTTTTTCCTTTACTGGTCCGCAGACGCCCCCGCCGCTGAATTCCACGACCTCTTCTGCAAGAAGCTGCAGCAGTGCTGCGTGACCTTTGACTTCCTGGACTGCGTGGCCGACCTGAACGGCAAGGAGATCAAGCGAGCGGCGCTCAATGAGCTGGTGGAGAACGTGGCCACCAGCAAAGGAGTCCTCATCGAGCCGCTCTACCCGGAGGCCATTAAGATGGTACGGCGGGAGAACGCCGCCGCTCCTCTTCTCCCTCTCTCGGCTCATTCCCGCCCTCTCGCATCTACTTTCATCTTTCATCGCAGATCTCCGAGAATATCTTCCGCTGTCTCCCGCCGTGCGAGAATCCCGAGTTTGACCCGGAGGAGGACGACCCCCCGCAGGAGGCTTCCTGGCCACATCTTCAGGTAGACGCCATCTTGTCAAACCGTGTCAGAAAAAAAGTGATCAAACTTTGCGCCTCTTTCCCAGCTGGTGTACGAATTCTTCCTGCGCTTCTTGGAAAGTCCCGATTTCAAGCCCCCCGTGGCCAAGCGCTACGTGGACCAGAAATTCGTATTCCAGGTAGTGCTTCTCTCCTGTCCTTCCCACGCGTGTCAGTGTTCCAGAAAGACAGTTAGTGGAAGCGCATGCTGTGTGTTTAGCTCCTAGAACTGTTCGATAGCGAGGACCCCAGGGAGAGGGAGTACCTCAAGACGATTTTACACCGTATGTACGGAAAACTACTTGGCCTCCGAGCCTACATCCGCAAGCAGATAAATCACATCTTCCTCAGGTACTGCCCCTGCTGCTATTTTGAAGCCCTGCTTGCAAAGAATGGCCATGATCAGAATAATCATAACGCATCATCTGTTTCCCAGGTTCATTTATGAGAGTGAGCAATTTAATGGCGTCGCAGAGCTGCTGGAGATCCTCGGCAGGTGAGCACAAAGCACTTCTTTACCCTCTGCTACCCGAGTGCTCGCATACAATGAGAAACCCCATCGACAAACGGTCTAAGGGTTTGCATCAACGTGGCGGTGTCGTCACCCTCTCCGCAACGGATATCTGAACACACACAACACATGTAGACAGACAATAAAAGAATACTCACAGGCATGTATTCTTTATCCTCGGCGAAGAACAATTATAACTGCCGCAGTAAAGAGCCGAGACAGGAGCTGAGCCTCTGCCACAGTCTATCCATATCTCTGCCTTATGCTGCCCCCGGGTGGCACACCAGAATGAGAATGAGAGGCACGACTGAAAGAGAAAGTGTGACAAAAACGATTTGTTTTGAATTATGTCATGATAGTAAAAGTATGACATTGTTATAGAGTGCTTTGATCATGAATTTTGGGGGGGTTGGTTTTTGGGGAGGATGCAACGTATTAACAGCATTTCCATTCATTTCAGTCGGAAAGATGATTTGAGTTAAGGAACAAAGTTAAACGCCAGGCTCCACCGCGCTTGATTTTGGGGGGAAATTACTCAAACAAGGGCAAGTCAATGTACCCGAAAAAAAAAAAAAACAAGTTGGAAACCAATGTAGAGGGATGAGTCACGCGAGGAGAGAGAGGCTGGCAGTCATGTTGCTACTCACAAGAGATATTTATAGCCCCGCCCACACCGGCGACGATGAATGAACGAGGACACGCAGTCGGAAAGACGGATGAGACGACGTCACGCCATCACGAAGGGGCGGAGCTCCACTCGTCATGCAACGCAAAGTTCCCTTTTGCTGTCCTGAGAGATGAATGAACATTGACCGAATTTTCATCCTGATGAGCCGGTGCTAATTTTCGCTTTTGTGTCCCCCCGCCAGCATCATCAACGGCTTCGCTCAGCCCCTGAAGGCCGAACACAAGCAGTTCCTGGTGCGGGTTCTCATCCCCCTGCACACGGCAAAGTCTCTGTCCGTCTTCCACGCGCCGGTCAGTCACGCTGCAACTCAGTTCGGATGAGTCCAAGGCAGCCCGTTCGCTGCTCGGTGGACATTCCTTCACGTGCTATTGGCTGGATCATAGTTGTTGTTTTCCCTTGTCGCGTGTGCCAATTTGCTTTTTTTGGGCGAGAACACTAGGCGGCCACTAGATGGCAGAGTCGAGTCACACACTGAAATGCATGTGTGTGCTTGGCAGGTTCGTCAGTGACACCTCATTTGACGTTTCTCCTCACAGTTCTCCTGCCCACACACACACACACACACACACACACACACACACACACACACACACACACACACACACACACATACACACACACAAACACACAGCATGCACCCATTGTTGATTCATACAGCAAACTTGTGTGGACCAGCTGACGAGCTCAGGGGGAGTTTTGCTGGCAATGCAAACAAAAGTAAGATAGTGTATGAGCGCAGGGCCTTTTAATCATGCGAGTGACTCAATAAGAAGCGCTTTGGGTATAATAGCGGTGACAATGTTGTTGCAAGGCGAGAAGTGTGTAATCTGCACGGCAGTGTCACTCCCATTCAGGAAGAGAGCAGCTCAGTTTGTTTACGGCGTTCCCACGGCGGCTTGGAATTTGGCAGAAGTGCTTACCAGGGCTAGAATTTGTTCCTGCGAACCTTTTCCTCTATTTTTCTGTTGAATTGTACCTCCCTTCATTTGATTGTGCCCCGATATGCTTTTACAGTTAGTTGTTAACAAAAATTGTTCAGAGTCGCCTCTTCCACCCATCCGTCCTTTTTCTGAACCGCTTCTCCTCACAAGGGTCGCGGGGCGCCCTGGAGCCTATTCCCGCTGTCTCCGGGCAGTGGGCTGAGGACACCCTGAACTGCTTGCCAGCCAATCGCATCTTAACACGCAAAATCCAAAATAGACAGGCTAAACGGCGCTTCTCCAGAGCTGAAATAAGCCTACGAGGCTGTGTTAAGCAGAGATTTTGATTCTTAGCCGCCATCGCCGTGTTTACATCGAAATTCTCTTTCTCTCCTTTAATGAAACTGCACTGGGTGCAAACAGACGCTTGAAAGTGCCGCCTTTTGCAAGTGCGTCTGGCTCCGTAATCCGTCGCCTAACCACGACCCCCCGGTTCCACAAAAGGCCGTCTTAGCAACGCAGTCCAAACGTCGTGTTTACCCCAAGCGATCTTAACGCCGGCTAAGACTTTGCACAATACTTGAAATAGCTTGACCCATCCTCACGTTGATTCTAATCCTGGCGCCGCTTTTTTTTTCTTCCCTTTCTCCTTTGAATTGTACAGCGTTGCGTAACTTCATCAAAAGAAAAGCAGAGGAAGCCGATCCGTACGCTTTGCTTGTTTTTGTCTAATGTTGTCGCGCACAAGCGCCGTGGCGACGGCAACCGGGCGAGGACCAAACATGCGCACACGTGCCGCACACGTTCACAGCTGTAAAAGATCTCGGCAACATTTTGCCAAAGGGACTAATGCTCGCTATTGTCGTGTGTGTGTGCGTGTGTGTGTGCGTGTGTGTGTGCGTGTGTGTGTGTGTGTGTGTGTGTGTGTGTGTGTGTGTGTGTGTGTGTATTTCTTCTATAGCTGACCTACTGTATTGTGCAGTTCATTGAGAAAGACTCCACTTGCGCTGAGCATGTAAGTTGTACTTATGTTTTACACTTTTAAAAATGAAGCTTAGGACGAGTCAATTCCAAGAGTCATCGTTGCTGGTCAAATGAGTCGACGACTCGATCTCGTTGCGGTCATCCAAGAATACAATGGATGGAAAAGGTTTACACCCCCCCTGTTCAAAAGGCCACGTTGTTGGGACACAAAAAGGACAGGTTGAAAAGTTTCCCACCATTTAATGTCACTTCTTGCTCGTATGACTCTGATTCAACCCAAATAAAGTCCAGATGTTGTCGTCGGCTTTCCTGACATTTTTTTTTTTCTTTCGAGCGTTTCATGAGCAGTGACTAGTTAGTGTTAGCACAAAACCCTCAGGCGTCTCCTCGTATGTGCTGACTCCGATTCTATGTGAGTTCATTATGAACGCAGCCGCATCCCCCGGTTATGAGAGGATATGTACAGCTGAGGGTGTGTACACTTGTGCAACAGCACACAAGACTTTCTTTTTTTTTTTTTCAACTGAGTTGTTCAGGCCACAGGTCACATTCATGGTGGAACAAGTTTCATTCGGCAATCCCGCAAAGCGGGCATTTGAACAGGGGTGTGTAGACTTTTTCTATCCACGGTACGCCCCCCCGTTGTCTCAGATCATCCGAGGGATGCTGAAATACTGGCCCAAGACGTGCACGCGGAAGGAGGTGATGTTCCTGGGCGAGATGGAGCAGATCCTGGACGCCATCGAGCCGTCCCAGTTCGTCCGAGTCCAGGAGCCGCTCTTCAAGAAGATCGCCGCCTGCGTCGCCAGTCCTCACTTCCAGGTGAACAGCTCCACCGCCTCACCTCTAGAACACACACTCATGGGGTTCACGACTACAACTACGATCGCTAGGGCTGAGCCATTACGGAAAAGTAATAATATACGTGGGACATTTTTTTATGGCCACTATATGGTGGCATTACACTGTCTTTTCTGAAGATCCTACATGCTGAATGAATGTCAGTATTTTAGGGGCACTACAATTTTTTTTTTTTTTTTTTTTAATAGACCAAACAGCGGCCCCTAACCTGAAATGTTAGAGGTGCAAGTAGAAGCTTCAGGGTCGCACGCTGTAAATTCACTTGCAAAGTAAATATTCATCCCATTCATTTTCACAATATTACTGATAAATGGGCTGAAGTGTTCCTATTGTCCGCTCTGATGACAGAGGACACCTTGTGTTGTATACTGCCTGTGTGGGTTTTCTCCGGGTACTCCGGTTTCCTCCCACATTCCAGAAACATGCATGGCAGGCTGATTGAACTCTCCAAATTGTCCCTCGGTGTGAGCGCAGATGGTTGTTCATCCCTGGCAACCAATTCAGGGTGTCCCCCGCCTACTGCCCGAAGACGGCTGGGATAGGCTCCAGCACCCCGACTCTTGTGAGGATAAAGTGGATGGGAAAATGGATGGATGGAGGGCGATTTGGGAATGGGATGCGAATGTTCTCTGAGTATGTCAATTGGCTTTTGCGTTGACTGCTAGCATGAGCTTTGGCGACGCCAAAATGAACGTAAAGCATTCCCATGTGTGCATCAGGTGGTGGAGCGAGCTTGTTATTTTTGGAACAACGAATACATCCTGAGCCTGATCGAGGAGAACTGCCAAGTGATCCTGCCGCTGGTGTTTGCCAACCTCTACACGTTCTCCAAGGAGCAATGGAACCAGTAGGTGGCGCACACATGGACGCTTATGTTTGGCTCGAAGTCGGGGCTCCCCCTAACTACACTGACCATGCAAAGGTCTCCCCCTAGACCCATCGTGGCTCTCGTCTTCGACATCCTCGAGACCTTCATGAAAATGAACGGCGAGCTGTTCGAACAGCTCGCGACGTCCTACAAGGCGGAGAAACAGAAGTGAGCCGAAGCGCCTTACGGGCCCGGCCCCGCGTGCGCTCGGAGGTCCTTGTCCTCATCTGTGTTGCTCTCCTCAGGGACGTGAGGCGGCAGAGGGAGCACGCCGAGCTCTGGCGGCGCCTGGAGGAACAGGCGGACCGCAAAAGTTACGAGAAAGGGGACCAGCCGAGCCCCGCGGCTGGCGCAGACCGGCCCGAGGCCGGGGAGAGCGCCACCTAGGCGGGCGTACGTAACAAAAGTCGCGAGGGCTCACTCCAATAGAGGTACACAAACCAATCGATATTTTGTTGTTTCGTGTCATGGAGGTGGTAGCTTCTTTTTGGTTTGATTTTATTTTTTCAAAGCGTACGCACTCCAAGGTCAAGATTGTACCTTCGTTTTTTTTTAGGAGGAGGGGGGGGCGGGGGGGACTGAGACGCGCGTCAGGACTGGCTCTTTTTCCCCACTCGGTAAATCAGAAAATGGATCCGAAAACACGCAGGCAGACAATTTCCGGGCTCGTCTCTCTCCACACGACACTTGAACGTTCAAGACGGTTCAATCAAACGTGTGTCACGTCTGCAAAAAAAAAAAGAAATAAATGTCCCCACGCTCGGATTAAAAGTGTATCTACAAGAGATGATTGACCGACAAAGATGAATTCAAGTCCTTCAAAGTTCCTTCTTCTTACTTGTTACTCGACTACTAATCTACCCTATACAGTGCCATGAAAAAGAATTTGCCCCCTTTTTGACGGCACCGTAGACAGAAACATCCTCATTCTCACTCGTACTACTGACAATGACGATGTTTTCTATATTTATAGCATTCTATCTAAATAACGTGTCCGTAGTGCGTGATGAAAGAAACACTAGTGTAGCAGATAACACGGCGAGGACGCGCAGAAATTCCACACGGTTGCCCTTAAACCACCTCGGGGGAGAACGGCTGGATGCCGGAGGCTCTTTTCTTCTTTTTCTTCGGCGGCGGGTGCTCACCGCGACACTTGAAAAGAGGGTGTGAAGGGATCCGTTTTTTTTTTTTTTTTCCTTGGGTTCATTCCAAACAAGTCGACCTCTGGCTTGAGCAACTGCACCTTCGGTGTGCTTTCGTCCATCTTACTTTAGCAATACTTTCATTCCACCTTTTGTTGGCCGTTGTTCACGTTGTCTTAAAGGTACTTTTGCCTGTCAATCAATTACATGTGAATCATTTTGCTGGACCGAACGATGTATTTATTCTGGACTCAGTGAGAAAACGCACGGTCATTTGTTTGTTTGGTTGTTTTAGAGAGAGAGAGAGAGAGAGAGAGAGAGACAGGGTTTACATTTGAATGTATAGTGAATCAAATTGATTGTCTTTTTTTGTTTTGTTTTGTTTGTTTTTACAATTTACCTGTCAGCTAAAGCCTCGGTACAATATTTTAATTTAGACACAGTGCAAAAAAAAAAAAAAAAAACCCCAGCAAGAAAGCAGGGTGTACATGATTGATGCTGCTGATTGTCTCTTTTCATCAACCCAAAATATGTAATTGTGTTACCAAATATCTTGATATATGCAGCCTTTTTTTTTAAAATACGTGTCATTATGTATGATTTATTTATTTATTTATTTTTGTAATTGTTTTTTTTTTTTCCAAAGACGTCTGACTGGATGGCGTTTTGAATGCATTACACGTAGCAGTTTCACCCTGTTTGTTTTTTGTTGTCTCCAAGAAGAAACAGCTGGGAAAAAAAAAGGTTGTTTTGGATGTGGGGAGGGGTGAAGTTGGATGTAGAACGCTTACAGTAAGTAACCTGCCATTACACTTCACTTTGACAAAACAATTTGAGTGTGTCTTGTCTTTATGAACAATGTCTGATTTATTCTTTTTGATTATTATGATTATTGAAATAAAATCCAAACGGCAACATGTTTAATCGAGCCGGGGCGATTAACATCGGCTGATGTTTGTCTTTTTCAAAATAATCATAATCGTCCAGAGTTTTGCCGATGAAACAGTAAATGCCGTTCAGTGTTGGGAGTCACTCAGAATGACGTCACGGTGTTGTCCGTCCACTCGCTGGGGATGGGGGGGAGGGTCGTCAGATTGTGCAGGTGTACCTAATCTAGTGGCCACGAGTGCAGAGATGTGGCACGCGCCGAGGTTAAGAAAATAGCATGTAGACGACTATCAGTATTTTCCAGGGAGGGAGTCTCCATTATTGCTGCCTCGGGGTCTCTCGCGTGATATTTTAATTGTAATTACGATGATGTCAGAGTGTCCGTCCGCCCTAATGACTTTCTCACACAGAAAAAAGGGAGGGGGGCGGGGGGAAGACAAACCTTCCAGCTTCCATTTCAGCTGCTCGTCGCACGAACGGAGCCACACACCCTCCGATCTCGGCAGAAGGTGAGACACCAAAGGTGAGCGAGAGCTTTTTCTTCTTCTTCGAAGTCAAACATTTACGAGTGTGACTGTCTGTTGAGAGAAACTATGTGAAGTTTAACCATGGTGGTCTTGCTTTACAAAAAAAAAAAAAAACATCGAAAAACTGTCATCATTTCTCAGTTGAGATTTCACTTTACTTTTTATTCCCCTCGTAGTGACTGAAACGGTTTTGAAAGATTGAATGACTGCAGAGTACCTTGTTGCGGCACTTCCTCGAGTGACCACCAGAGAGCAGCGTTGCTCCAGTGTAACGAGCGTGCGTTTGTTTGTCAGCATGCGCGACCTTCCTCCATCGCTCCTGCTGCCTCTGCTGCTGCTGCTGCTTCTCCTGGGCCAGCGCGCGGCCGTGATGCGCGTCGCCGAGACGACGGCGCTGCACAGCTTCCGCGGATGCGCAGTGCGAGAGTTCACCTTTGTGGCCCAGAAGCCGGGCTGCAAGGGGCTGCGGGTCACCACGGAGGCCTGCTGGGGGCGCTGTCACACCTGGGAGGTAAAAAAAGAAAACACTGCTTGCTCAACATCGCAACAAACAGCCAAAGAATAATTGAAACAAGATTTCCCACTTTTTAACGCTGGGATACAGATGCTACTTGTTAGCTCGTCTGTGGCATCAAGCTACACTGATTTATCTGAAAGAAAGCCACGTAGTTGTTTTAACTTGCTCTTCTCCAACATGGTGCTGAAAGGCAAAGTTCACAACAGGTGTTTCATCAATGAAAATTTAATTTCCTGTTTCTGTCCCCCCAACGTTTGTGCAGAGGCCAGTGCTGGATCCTCCTTATATCCACCGGCACCACCGCGTGTGCACGTACGCGGTGACCCGTTACGCGAGTGCGCGACTGCCCGGCTGCCAGCCTGGCATCTCGCCTCTCTATCACTACCCGGTGGCCGTGCAGTGTCACTGCGCCGTGTGCACCACCCTGGACAGCGAGTGTGAGAGCTTCTGATCGGGAGAGGGAGGCAGCTCATGTCCACCATGTCATCAACTTGTGTGTGATGCTCATTAAAAATCATACAAAAGAAATCTCGGTGTGTGGTTTCTGGCCTTCTTCTCCACTGCCATCGTTTGAATAAGGGAAAAAGATGTTCCCAGATGTAAATTGCTGCCAAGAGAGACGAAATGGTATGGAAGCTTGGAGCTGCCAATGTGGAGTAAAAATATTTTGACTGGTAAATACGTTCAAACGTATTCAAATAAAGGTTCGTACGTAATCGGTGGGGACATTCGAATTTACCCGGCTAAAGAACACAAACGTACATTTTTCCCAGAATGCCACGGGGGTATTGACTTGCGCATGCGCAAGAAAAAATAAAATAAAACAAACGAAAAAAGAACAATGCTATTTTTTTAGCATTTGGCCTGTATTCAAAAATTAAATAACTAAAGATTGTTCAAAGATTGTTAATTTTATGGCTTAAATATATCTTCAGTGCTTGATTTACATTTTTCGCAGAATGCCATGGGAAAATGCTACGTTTGTAATAACCTTGCCTTCAAGAACTTTCGAATGTATTAGCAAGTCCGTTTGAGTGTATTTAAGCAAGTTTGAACATATTTGCGAGTATGTTTGAACGTATTTAGGTACGTTGTAACATATTGGCAAGTACGTTTGAATGTATTTGCCAGTCAAAATAATTTTACTCCACACTTCCGTTATATAGAAAGGCACCCCTAAATTACATTTCTAAAAGTTAAGGTGATTTAAAAAAATAGACTTGGCTAAAAATTTGACATTCACATTGTGTGTGTGTGTGTGTGTGTGTGTGTGTGTGTGTGTGTGTGTGTGAGTGTGTGTGTGTGTGAGCGAGCGTGTGGTCACAAGATCGCCGAAAGACTGGCTTTGCTAGTTGTGCATCATTGGAATGAAAGAAAAAACAAATACCAATGTCCACAATTTCAAAGGCTTTATTTTTAATTCACACAGTGTAAAAAATATTCAATATTTCTATCTTTCCTTTAAAGTCATTCCGAGCACTCTTTGGTTCCAACAATAGATATAATTTACCCCCCAAAAAATCATGACAATCAAACAAATAAATATTTGGTGCTTTTACATTCTTTTGTCTTTCTGTTTCTGGTTAGTGTTTATTGTAAAACGTGGAATCCTTTTTTTTTTTTTTTTTTCAACATGATTTGCTCTTGTCATAATGATTTGATATGTCATTTCTGTCATGCAGCAGTCAACTGTAATGTGAGCTCCAATCCTGGTTTTCGGTCAGTAGCGGGACGTGCGGCACATGTCGCAGCGACACGCCTTGGCCGTCAGGATCTCCAACTCGTCGTGGTGACGGCCCCCAGGACACTCCAGCCGTACTTTGACCTGGCCGACCAGAGGTGGTGTTGTTGAGCGGATGGAGCCCGATGACCGAGAACCCGCCCCTCGCCTCGCTGCTCCCTCCCCCTCCTCCTCACCTTTGCCTCCTTGGCGATGGTGCAGCATCGCGACGCCGACGTGATGTTGTGCGTGAAGTTCGAGGCCACCAGCACCGAGTACCTGGACGGGAAGGCGCTGGACTCGCAGTAGCCCACGCAGGCGTGCGCAAGGTGGGTGCCCCGACACGTGCCTCGCTGGTCGCTGCGGATGCTCACGTTGAAAGCTGAAATGCACAAATGGCTCGCTGAGCGATAACTGACATGGAAAAGGTCAAATCTGAGATCGTTCGACTGCGCGGCGTGACGTATTTTTCGCGCCGGCTGTGCGGTTCGGGACTCACGGTGCAAGTGACAGCCCGGGCTGAGGGTGACATTCTCGTCACTGCGACCGACGGGAGAGAAGAGCAGCAGTGACATGGCTGGCAGCACCAGCAAGCAGACGTTGACCCTCATCGGTTGCGACATCTGGGACAAAAGAAAGAAAACATATGTGGATGCGGATACAGCACACCCTTGCTCTTAAAAATGTTTAGAATAGCCGATATGAATAGTTTGAACCATAAAAATCCCCAAATACTTCAATGTAATTTCAAACTCCATTGACATGACCCTATATACCTTGAGATGCGGCAAAGACTCTCTTTTACGACCCAGGCTAAAGTTAGCTCCACCCCGACCTACAAAGATGTTTGTGTATCGCTTCAACATGCTTTTCGGACACCAATTAATTATGGCTGGCTCGTGGACAGCTCAACGAAGAAATGAGATGCTTTCACAGGGTGCCTGCTAGGGACCAAAAATAATGGGACAAATCAAACAAAACAAACATTCACTTCTCGACCTTCGCAATCTATTACGTACGTCACCGGACGTGTAATTTCATGCCGGGTGATGCTCCGCCGAGCATCGACTGCCACTGTCTTCAGTTCATTCTTGTATCCCGGGCCATTTTTCCTTCGGTTTTGTCTTCAGCAAGTGAAATGCAATCAAAATCGTCTCAGTCCGATTCAAGGTCAAGTGAATGACTTTTGGGCTATTGCATGACATCGCACTTCTTTCCCGGTTGCTTTCGCGGTGCGCTTCAGGTCATTTGTCCATCTGCACTGTGAAGCGCCAGTCCGGTGAGTTCTGAAGCATTTGGCCGAATATGAGCAGATCATTTTGCCCAAAATGCTTTACAACTGGCAGTTAGGCCATTTGATGAAAATTATTGTTTTCGATTCCAGGACAAAGTGTTTTTCTTTTTAATGAAGGCTTTAACTCGATGTTAGTGATCAACTACGGCGCATTCTGACCGGTCAGTGTATTTGTATTTTCCATGCCAGTGTAGCACATGGCGACTCTATTTTGTGCTACCGTGACTTGAAGGTTTAATTTACTCTCTGAGTAAACAGTGACACAAAGAAAATGTGAGTGATAGAATTTCAGAATCATTGTCGACACACACACACAGATGGAATTTAAACAAGTCATGCTTTCCCAGTAATTTGCTCAGCCTGCCCTTTGCCATTTTGTTTCCTTACAAGGGGAGCACAGGGAACCCCCATTTGACACTCCAGCTAAATGGTCCTGACTGCGCGCGCGCGTGCGCGCACGTGCGCGTGTGTGTGTGTGTGTGTGTGTGTGTGTGTGAGGCGTAATTAACCCGATGTCAACTGGTTGGAATGGTGGGAGGGAGGTAGGGGGTCCCGAGTTTTTTCCTCTAAAGGGTTTCCATGCCTGGGGTTTGTATTGAGAAGCATGTTCACATTGTTGTTGTTTTTGTTGCAAGTTGTGTGTGTGTGTGTGTGTGTGTGTGTGTGTGTGTGTGTGTTCATTGTATCGTTCCAATCGTCATCGCGTGTAATCTGAATTAAATGACCCTGAAATGAAAATTCATTTTAGATGACGTGAAAACACGCAAGTACAACCAAACCTGAATTAACAAAAAAAAAAATCTTGACAAAAACTGGAGAACATTTTAAAAATAAAATTCATTTGTACAAATTTTTATACGTTTTCTTTTTGGGGAAAAACAAACAAACAAAAAAAAACAATCTTATAGATTTTTGTGAAGCAAGGATACGAGTAACCTTTGTGACAAACTGCCTAACACCATTTTCAAATTAGCCCTTGAAAAAAATTGAAATGCTTGTCAGTTCTTGACATGTACACAATATTCTTCTGCGGATACAAGTGGATTAAATGCAAATGTCTTACCTGGAGAGAGGAGAGCACTTGCTGAGCCGACAGCAGTTGACAGGTGTGTTGGCGTGTGTGTGTGCGTGCGTGCGTGTTTGCGTGTGCGGTGAGGCTCATGCAGCGATGCCAGGAGCAGGTACGAGTCGAGGCCAATTATAGCTGGGAACACGCCCACAATTGCAGCTCTCCTTTTGCCATACAGGTCCCCCTTTACTCTTCTCCTTCCAGAGTCGACAGTTTTCCCCCCCAAAATATCCTTTCCTCCTCTTTCTCCTCCTGCGGCGGCGTGTTAGCATGTAAGCCAGGGTGCCACCTCCCCGACGCACTTTAAAACCTTTACGGAGCGGGTGGAGGGGATGTGGTGGTGGTGGTGGAGGGGGGTGGGGGGGTCTCTGTGACACAGAGGAAAACTAGATTAGGTTTTCCATCAATGCATTGGCACCATAGACACACACACACACAGACACACACGCACGTGCATGCAGTCACGCAGCATGTTAGCTTCAGACTGAGATTTTTTTGAGAATTAAAACAGCAGGTGCTAAACGAAGCGTTGGCCCACGCAAACAGATTGCCTGAGCTGTTGGCAACAGGTGTTGAAGTGGCGGAGACCGCGCTGCCGTATTTGGATGGCGCCAAAGGTTTTCGCTGGCATTTGGGAGCGCACGGGTGCAAAATATGTTGGAAGGGATTGAATCGGGGGCGGCCCGCTGGGCCATTGGTTAGCGTGTTGACCTCACAGTGCAGAGGTCGTGGGTTCGATTGCTCTGGCCTTCTTGTGTGGAGTTTGCATGTTCTCCCCATGCCTGCGTGGGTTTTCTCCGGGTATTCCGGTTTCCTCCCACATTCCAAAAACATGCATGGCACGCTGTTTGAACACTCTAAATTGTCCTGAAGTGTGAGCGTGAATGGTAGTTCGTTTCTGCGTGCCCTGCGATTGGCTGGCAACCGGTTCAGGGTGTCCCTCGCCTACTGCCCAAAGATGGCCGGGATAGGCTCCAACACCCCCCATGACCCCTGTGAGGATAAAGCGGATTGGAAAATGGATGGATGGATGGGATTGAAACAGAAGTGTATCGTGAGCTAATTTAGCATATTTTGTTGTTTGGTTTAAAAAAATGTAAGAGCTGAATATTATTATTTCCCTTCTGTTCAATACAAGCGCAATCTAACTCAATAAAAGAGGGAAGCAATCTTGGGTATTTTTAATTTTTTTTTCTTAAATTGGCACTTGTGATCATCAGCATTTTTTTTTCCCCATGATGACATTTGGGTTAGACTAACCCTCCTCGAGTTGGTGGAGGGCTCGTGTCGCTTTCGATTCAGCATTCTAAATAATAAACCTGGAATAACACTGGTCAACAGCATATTTCAATGAGATGCCGTTACACCTCCTTGTCTGTCTTTACTTTTTTCGAGCATTAACTTTTTTTTGTTTTGAAGTCTGACCTATCGTAGAAAGGAACTTTCCTGTACGACTGACAGCCTCCACAAGTCTGACCTATAAAAGCTTGCATAAGACAAATTTTTACCATGCATTGCAATTCACAGTTATGAAGTTTCTGGAAAGGAAAAAAAAAAAAACCTGAATCCTGAATTCATAAATTTCCCTAAATATATTACATATGATATTTGCATAATTTTATTTTTATTATTAGGAAAACCTAATGTGCTAGAGGAAAAAAATGAGGGCAGATTTGGAATCAGCTCCCAAAAATAATAAGACAGAAAAGTTTACTCACCTCTCTGAATAACAAAAAAATGCCAAAAATTGTTGAACGATGTCATTTTAAATAATTCTTAAAGACACATGCCTCCACAGCACAAAAAAAAAGATGAAATGAAAATTGTAACGTTAACAGAGAAGAAATCAGAAAGATTTCATCACTGTGGTGATGTTTTCCAAATCACACACACACACACACACACACACACACACACACACACACACACACACACAGACACACACACACACACAGCAGGAAAACATAGTGATCACCTTATGGCCCCCGCCACCCCACACATTCCCAATCTGGCTATGTCAATGGAAAAGTGGAATTTGTGACATCATCATCATCCAAACCCCCCAATTACACACACACACACACTCACACGCGCACACACACAATTATTGTGGTGACAGTTAGTTGCACAGACGGAACACAAGTGAATGGCCTCCTCAGATTAGACGTGGGGGACCTTTCCTCCCACCCCCACACCACCCGACGCCCCCCCCACCCCAACATAGGGACACCCAGTTCATACGGATACGCGCAAACACTTTGGTGTGACTCAGCGAGGCTGACTGATGTTTGTATTAATTCATAGCACCCTTGTTGCCGTGGTTACCATGGCGTCTCCTGTCATTACGGTTACTTTCAGGCGCGCGTGCGGGTGTTACATTGTACGAATTGTATTCGAGTGTTTTGGATGTGTTATTCTGGGCTGTGTGATAATGTGAGGGGAGGATGAGGCAAAGTTTCCCTTCGCCCAAGTCCCTGCCGCCCCCCCAACACATTGACCCATTTACCCCCCCCCACCCCATATATACGTACATACATGTACATATTCACACACGTGCACCGCCGATAAAACCATCCATGACACAATCGCCTTATTTTGCCGTGTCTGCCGCCATTGTGCGCAAGCGCGTGTGCCAAAAATCGTGACAAAGCCTCGGAGTGACACGCACACCCTTGGAGGTGGAACACGTCACTAATTTAGATTGACGGAAGGAAAGTGGAGTTTTCCATATGGCGACACTCGCTGCAGATTAGGCACACACACACACACACACACACATACACATACACACACACACCATCAAGTGGAAACATGAAGCGAGCGGCCATGATGTCCATCAATTAGCAGAATAAAGCCTTGGAATGTGTTCCACTCACGTCTAATCCGTGAACTCTTCCCTCTCATAAAATGCAATATTTGACAAGAAAGAGAGTAAATCCGTCCTGGCGGGGGATTATCTCTGTCATCGTCCATTTTATTACAAAGGAAACGGGTCCGAAAGCTTAAGAACGAGGTCTTTATAGTAAACGAAAACGAACACAATCACGAAATGGAAAAAAAAAAAATTGTTCGCGAAATAAAGTAGAAATGAAAATGCTTTTAAACAAAACAAAAATTAAGTGAAATTACAATTTAGGTTCATAAAAATAGCTACAATGAACAATAATTACAGCAAGTCTTTTGTTTTAGTCTTTCAGGCTCACTTTAAATGTTTTTATTTCGGTATTGCTGTATGTCCGGACAGAAGGAGGCAGGTCAAACAGTCGTCGAGTATGAGTGGGCCATGTTCCATGTCACCATTGTTGAGGTGCTCTAGCCCAATTCCCAATTCCCAAACCCGATGGCGGACACCAGCGATGGGGGATGCTGTCAAGCAAAGGAAGGTGTCCTTTCGAGCCAAATGCGCCTTTGGCGGGTCCCGAGGCAAAAATTCAGGCACCGAAGGCGCTTGGTGAGATCATGGAGAACGACTTTGGGACGACTTCAAGGAAATGCTGCTTCACCATCCGACGTCTCAAGAGGGCGAAGCAGCGCACCATCGCGGCATCGCCACCGCTTGGAAGTCATTCAAAGCCCTTCTCAATTCAAGATAGAGGTCGTGGAGTTCAAGTGAAAGTTTCCCAGGTAGTGTGAAAATTGCAGTAACTTAGTATTTGTACTCCGTTGCGCCACGGGACTGCAGCTGACTCAATGTGTTAACAAGAATTGAGGCACACGCACACACACACACACACACACACACACACACACACACACATACTCAAATTGAACGTTGGAAGTGTCATTATCGCCACACGTTTCAGTCCTTTTCATTTTGTTGTGCACGACAGCGCCGGAGATGAGGTCACTCTCCAGATCAAAATTAATACTTTTGAAAGCTTCGCAAGCTTTGTGTAGGCGCCTCCTTCTCATTTTAAGAAAACAAATAACTCAATAGGCCGGTACAATGAGTGTAAATCATTTTTTCCATTCGAAAACTAAATGCGCACCGGGCGGGTGGAGGTGGAAGTGGAGGGAAGTCGGAGTGGACAAGTGTTAAAGAAAGAGGATAATTTGGGCGACTTGGTTGCCATCACCAAGAACACACAATTAAATGTGCGCTCTCTCTCTCTGAGTGCCGCATGCTATCATTAACCCTAATCACAGCCGTTATCCGACCTGCCTGCACTCATGCTTGCCTGAGGCTGCCTTTTACAAGCAACAGTATAGCCACTGTTTGTATGCACGTTTGGTGTTGGGGAGCGACCGGTATTGAGCAACGGCGGGCTAATTAGGGGCTAAAGTGATGGGAGGTGGAGGGGAGTGACTATTGTATGTGTTGGAAAATGTTGAGAAATTGCCATGCGGGGGCATTTCTTTTTCTCTGACGAACGTCAATTGAGATTTCATTGAAAGGCGTGAGCAACCGCAAATTGGGATTTTCCTCGGGTCAAGTGGGCCAAAACGGAAGATCGGGGAACGGCATTGCCCGGAGTGAATTTGGCGCCCTCTGGTGGCAAATGTCAGACTAAAAATACGTTTTGTCGAACCACGTGACAACGTACCTCGACGGACGTAACGCATCTCTACGTTCTAACAGTAGTTAGTTGTAACCGTTTTCAATAAAATGGGCGCTAACTACGATGTATAATACAGTATGAACAGTAGATGGAACAACATGAACATGTGATACTAGAGAAACGTGTCCATTACAAATGCGTGCATATGAGGAACATTTTTTTTATAATACATGAAACAAACACGTGTAGCACTCCTATACTTCATCTCGTGACAACAGTTAGCTTGCACGGTCCATCGTAATGAAGACCTTTCCACTATTTTGTGGGGAAAATCTGGTCTTTATAATGACGTTTATGTGAGAAGAAAGGTTTTCGTTGTAAATCAAACTGGCAAATGGAAAATGAATGACGTGAAACCGGGACTTTTGAAATGTGAACATTATAGTGGTGAAATGGGGTACATTGAAACGACTGTATGTGTGTGTGTACACACACACACACGCGCGCGCACACACACACACTCTGATCAATCAGCAAGTCGATCAATGCCTTTCAGTGGCAAAAAAAAAAAAAGATCACACGCTCATACTTGCATGTGACAGCCAACAAGAGCGAGCCTGTGTGCAGTGAAGCATGCCCCCCCCAACACTCCAGTAATGTTATAGACCAAAACCAGCCGGTGAATTTGAATATGTTTGTGCATTTTCTGCACTTTCACTTTGAAATAATGACTTGTTTTTGTGTGATAAAAGCTTAAAAATCTGATTCATCATCTAATTGAAATGTAATCAATTATTAAAATAATCATTGCGAGCAGCTCTAAAATTTAAAAATGTTAAGACAATCTGTGATCGTTTAGGCCAATTTCAGTCATATATAATTGGTATCGGAACCAGCAGCCTAAAACCCTGATCAGAACACAGACTAAATGCCACAAGTCAACGTTGATACTACTTCTATGAATGATGATGGTAGTATCATATATTTTTTTGTACAGCCATGACATGTTTTGAAAAGAATGAGTATGTCAGGCACACAGGGAAAAACATGTATAGTCTAACTAAAAATGACATGCTCTCTCTCTCTCTCTCACTCTCTCATCTCTCTCTCTTTATCTCTCTCTCTCTCTCTCTCTCTCTCTATATATATACTGTATATTTTTTAATGCCATGATGTGTACTAAGACATGTCTGTAAACACAGATTGTTTTGTAGTACAGTCAGAGTAAAAATGACATGATGTATACACAGAAGGGCAAAAAAGACCAGTCTAAAATATATACGTGGAGGGGCGAGAGAGAGAGAGAGAGAGAGAGAGAGAGAGAGAGAGAGAGAGAGAGAGAGACACTCAAGATGTAGTACCACTGTCCTGCAGCAGAGGGCGACCTTTCCCCAACTGCTTAATGTTCAAAAGGTCCAAAAAGTGAGCACCTGCTGCGCAACATTCAGTCTGGACTCAGTCCTCCAACCGCTGCGCACATCCTACTGCATTTTGGTCCGGTCTGCTACGCCCTCCTTGAATTGCTCCATCCTGGCTCCGTCGACGACAGTGCGTCCTCTTCCGTCCTGGTCTAGTTTGATTCGTCATGAAGGGCAACCTCTGCTATATGATCTGGGTGAGCCATTGCACCGCCCGCCTCCATCTCGTCCTGTTCCGAGTGGCAAGCGCAACATGTAATAATCATCATTGATGGGGAGTAAAGAAGTACAAATACGTCATTACTGCGCTCAAGTGGATTTTGCAGGTAACTGTACTCGACTAGATTGATTGAGATCTTGGGTGTCTTATAAGGTGGGGAAAAAAAATGCAAGGATAATGATGTAATATGATAAGGACTTTTTTTTGTGACATCATCATCGATTTTTAGGATTCCACTCTACACACAAGCTACTGCTGCACTTAGCCTGCATCTTTCATTTCCTAAAACTCTTGAGGGTAAAACGTTCCTAAAACAAAAAGATGGAAGCCTACGAAAATTAAAGTTCTCAAAAAGATACGTGACCAATAAATGTCGGCGAATTCCAGTTGACGAATTAGAACATCCTTGGCAGCGACTGGGTTAAAAGCAACTTATTTGCGGTGTGTGCATGCGTACGTGTGTGTAGGTGTGTGTGTGCTGCGTCACACCTGCGTCCTCCTGGCACGATCTTGACAACAGCGAGTACGACTGCTGGCCTCTGGAGCGCCCCAACGACTCCAACATGATCAGTTGCGGAGGTGAGAGTCTTGATCACGTCCAGGGCTGGCGGTGGTAACGCTGCCGCCGGCGTGTCGGCACGCAGGTCTGGAGATGGCGTGGGTCCTGCGGCCTCCTGAAACGGTGAAGAGCGGCGAAGTGTTCAGCGTCGTCTACTCGGTCTCCGTCCATGACTCATTTTACAGCTGGGCCGTGGACAACCGCATCTTCCCTCACAGGTAATCCTGCACATGCAGTCACTGAGCGCAGGTATGTCCACATGTCTTTACAATAAACCCCTCCGATATGGTCCGAGCCCTGACGGGAATCATTTTAAAATCATTGGGGGTTGACTATACATGGATACGTGCTCAGTTCTATAGTGGACGCGCAAGACGCTCGGAGGTTCTGTGAGCATCACGAGTGTCCCGCCAACTGGAAAGACGCCGACGGTGAAAACTGCTGCATTCATCACGCCAACATCCACTCCTGTCCGCTGGCATACATGGTATATACACACACACACACACACACACACACACACACACACACACACACACACACAGACACACGCGCACACAGGTGGGCCAAGTGCTCCGCTGGCTCATACTTTTGTGCAGACTTCAGAGAGCATTTGCGGTCCGTGGATTCCTGACGACGGAAAGATCTTCACACACACCATCTCCACTTCGGGCAAGATGACGCAGACCAACTGGAGTGCCAAGGTAAGGCCGAGCGACGGGGGGTGGGGTGCGGCCAAGTGAAGGCGTGTCCCCGTCTCTCAGGTGGTTCTCCTCCACGTGGGCTTGACGTCACTCATCGCTCACATCAGAGTGGGCCGCATGCAGGTGGCGCTGGAGGCCAAGAGTACCGTGCTACCCTCCGCAGGTACGACACGCACGCCGCCACAGTCACGTCAAGGCGTAAACACCTACGGCACGTTTCAGTCTGCGGCGACGGAGAGTGCCAGGAGGCAGAGATTTGCTCCACCTGTCCGGCCGATTGCGGCGAATGCCCCATGACCCCGTCCACCAAACTGGCCATCGGGCTGCCGCTGAGCCTGCTGTGCCTCTGCTTCGTCCTGACCGCCATGGTGAGGAGTCGCCCCGCGCCACCATGCGCCGCCGTGCGATTCTGAGCGCGTCTACTGTGTGTTTAGTGGCTGAGGTACCAGAAGCAGAAGCTGCTGTGGGATGAGAGCTGGATCATCGATTTTGACCTCATCAAGCAAGGTCCAGTGATCCACCAGCACATATTTGCGATTTCCTTTGAAGCAGGAAGTAGACATCACGTGTCTTTGGCACCACAGATCAGCACGCGCGCGTGACCATGGGCAGTTTGATGAGTGTGGCCGCGGCCCACAGCGACAGCAACACCAGCTGCGTGACGGCGTTTACTTCCTGCGGGGGACAAGCAGGAAGCAAGAAGACGACCTTCACCTGCACGGGGATCTAGTAGGCTCAGCCATTTGACCTTTCACCTCTCCCCGGGCACAGAGGCGAACTGACGCTGTTGCCTTACAGTGACGGCAGGACGGTGGCCATCAAGAAAATTCCCAGCAAGTCTTTCTCTCTGTCCAAGAGCATCAGACAGGAAGTCAAGCAAGTTAGGTAAGACGTCACAAGATGGAGACGCTTACTCCCTCAACGCAAGATTTTTAGATATCTAAATACAGAATAGATGAAATGAAAAATACTTTTGGAACACGACATTTTTATCAAGCCATAAAACCAAAGCGGGATGGTCAAGGAAGACGCTACGAAGAGAGGAAGTGAGCGAGAATAAGGGGGAGTGGGGACATTTTGAGAGGCTACATATGAAATCAAAGTATTGTTGTACACGGTTGTGTTTTTGTATGGCCGGGTGGAGGCCGGCTGGGTCTCACTAGCTTCAAAGCTGAAATGTATTTTCTGTGCGTGACAGCTCATGTGCATTTTGATTGGCTGTTACATCCGCGGCGTCGTGAAACATTGATTGGGCACTCATGGAAACGAGCTGCCGATCCCCACACATGAACAGCGCGACAGCCATCGTGTTGGGGGCACGTGGAGGGCTCAGCTTGAGTCCCACTAACGTTGTCAAGATGTAGCGATCCCAAACAGAGCCTCCGCCGTGTGTCCAGGGAGTTGGACCACCCCAATCTGTGCAAGTTCGTCGGCGGCTGCGTCCAAGTGCCGGGTGTCGCCATAGTGACCGAGTACTGTCCCAAGGGGAGCCTCAACGACGTCCTTCTCAACGAAGAGATCCCACTCAACTGGGGCTTCAGGTAAGCTCGCCAGGGCGTGCTTTGGCGGCGAGGCGGCCATGACATCGGCACCTCCTAGGTTTTCCTTCGCCACGGACATCGCCCGAGGGATGGCGTACCTACACCAGCATCGCATCTGTCATGGCCGCCTCAAGTCTCTCAACTGTGTGCTGGACGACCGCTGGGTGTGCAAGATCACTGGTGAGCCCCGCCCGACACGCGGATTGAACTCCACCCACCTTTGACCGGTGCGCCACCCCCCGTTGTCCCGGCAGATTACGGGCTCCGGGTGTATCGCCGCGGGGAAGGGGCGGAGCCTCTCTCCACCTATCAGCAGAGAGTCCAGGAAGTGTACATGGCTCCCGAGTTTCAAAACGGCGACGTGGAGCCGACGCTGGCTGGAGACGTCTTCAGGTGACCGCATACACATGAGCACAGCACACAAAGACAGTTTTTGTCAATTTTTTTTGGAAGACGCACTGCACAGTAACGAGTGTGTGAGCGTGTGTGTCTGCGTATGATTGTAGTTTTTCTATAATCCTGTTGGAGATCGCCACACGCAGTGACCCCGTACCCGTAAGTGTGCAAACTGTATATCGTGTGTATGTGTGTATATGTATATGCATAGAGAGCTAAACAAAGTAACATTGTATAGAAGTGATTTTAAAGATTCTGATGAGTCTATAAATTACTAAATGGTTTGGGTCCTGCATACATTAAGAAAATGCAAATTGAATCTAAACCCAGTAGGGCTCTGTGATCTCCAGATTTGGGTCAATTAGTGGAGCCCGAGGTATTGAAGCAAACATGGTGAAGGGGCATTTAGCTGTTATGTTGCACCCAAATGGAAGTGATGTCAGCCTTAAGTATAAATGCTTTTAAATCCAAGTTAAAAACGACATTTTTTTTCCCTCTCCCCGTTCCTTTGATTACGTTCTTTTAAGCCTTTTTAAAATCAATTTCACAATTTTACCAATTTCAGAAAGGTACTTTTTTTGGTGTTGAAATCTTTTGGCCATAAATGTGCTTAAATGTCGTCAATGTATGTTCTTTTGGTCATTTCAATATGCTACTTTTGTAGTCTTTGCTTTGCAAATGTCTTCAGTTGTTCTGTTTTTTAATGCTTTTCTATGTGCTTTTAGTTGTGTGAAGCACATTGAGTTGCTTTGTGTATGACATGTGCTATACACTTCATAAATAAAGTTGCCTTACCTTGACATTTAGAGCAGACCCCTCCGCCCCCCACCAAAAAAAAAAAATTGGGGACCAATAAGGTGAAATTGGATGATTTCCCTCAACATGGTTGATTATCTCTATCAACATAGTGGGTGGGAATCCCTTCAGTAAAAAGTGCCCCGCCCACTTCTGCGCAGGTGGACGAGTCCAGTCTGGAATGTTCTTGCTGTCCGCCCCTGCCCGAGCTCATCTCCAGCAAAGCCGACAACACCTGCCCGTGCCCTGCCGACTACGTGGAGGTGAGCCGGCTAAGTGACGTGACACTCGCGTTGGGGGCGCTAACCGAGTCTTCGATGACGCAGCTCATCCGCCGATGCGGCGCTCACAATCCCGCCCAGCGACCCACTTTCGAACAAATCCGGAAGTTTGTCTACCGCATCAACCCCGTCAAAGTCAGCCCGGTGGACATGATGATGAATCTGGTAAGACGCCATTCACCCTAAAGCATGCGCGCGCACTCACGCAAAGGCATGCACTGTGTTCCAGATGGAGAAATACAGCAAACATCTGGAAGTCCTGGTGGCCGAACGAACTCAAGATCTGATGCATGAGAAGCAGAAGACTGACAGACTACTCTACAGTACGAAGCAAACACACACAGGCAACACAAAAACACACACACAGGTCAGGTTATCTGCTGTGTGTGCGCGCGCGTGTGTAGGCATGCTTCCTCGCCAGGTGGCTGACGACCTTCGCCAAGGGAAGACGTCAGAGGCTCAGAGCTACGTCAGCGCCACCGTCTTCTTCAGGTTGGACGGACACAAAGTAAGCGCGTATGGATGACTGGCAGGTGAGCTGGCTGACTGTGGAAGTGTGTGTGTGTGTGTGTGTGTGTGTGTGTGTGTGTGTGTGTGTGTGTGTGTGTGTGTGTGTGTGTGTGTGTGTGTGTGTGTGTGTGTGTGAAAAGTGACATCGTAGGCTTCACGCAGCTGTCCAGCAGCAGTACTCCATACCAAGTGGTGGACTTCCTCAACAAGCTCTACACCACCTTCGACGACATCATTGACAACTACGACGTCTACAAGGTGGAAACCATTGGAGACGCCTGTGAGCCACGCATGCCAACACGCACACGTGAAGTCGTCCGGGGGTTTGCAAACTTTTGGGGTCCTGGGAGCCCTTACATGGGAAACATGTTCCCGAAAGTGGGGAAGAATAATTGGTCCTTTTAGTAGGTTTGTACTGTTAACAAATGATACGACGTTATATATTTGGAATTATTTTGCAGACTCAGAAGTCATTGATCACGAGAGCAAATTCAGCGTTGGACAAAACGAATATTAAACAACTAATAATATAAAGGAGGCAAATCACACGATTTTACCAACCAACAGGCACACAACAAACTACTGTACATTACTGAACATAAAAGCAATGAAGGGGAAGGATTTTTATGGAAACGCATGACAATATTCTCCAGATTCCAAAGTCATAACAGGTTGTGTAAAGCAGAGCTGTGGCTACTTCAGGAGGTCCCTGATTTTTTTTTTATTTTATTTTTTTTTTTACATATGAACAATCTATATGATAAAAGTTTCACCATTGCAGTAAAAACAGTAAAATATGTTAGGTTGAAAAGAAAACTGCCTTTATTTTATATCAAAAACATTTGTTTTGTGAAGTCGAGAAATATTGTTTTTTTTTTTTAAATGAGACCATTTATGTTAAGTGAAATCCAGAATCTTATATTCAAACAATTACTTATGCTGCATCAAAAAAAGTGATTTGTTTTAGTTAAAAACTTACCGGTAATCCTTAACCATAACTGTTAAAAATGCACTTTCAATAAAGTATTTGGAAGTTGTCCTTTTTATAAAGTAACTAATAATGTAACTTGTAATCTAACGTAATGGCTTTTAAAATCAACTCATCAGTCACGTAACTAAGTTAAGTTTAAAAATCAAGTCAGCAGGAAAGTAACTAAGTAAGTAAGTTTTTCAAGGTAACTGTGACCATTCTGCTTCCCAAGTAACGGCTGGTGGCCCCCCGGGTTCACCGGACCCCGTTTGAGAATCGTCGCTGTCGACGAGCCGGCACACGTAAAACACGCCCATGTGTTTTTAGACATGGTGGTGTCGGGTGTCCCCCGAGAGAACGGCATCCTTCACGCCTCCGAGATCGCCAGCATGGCGTTGGACCTGGTGGACGTGTGCCGCACTTTTCGGATCCCCCACAAGCCCAACATGCAGCTGCAGATCCGCGCCGGGATCCACTCGGGTACGCTCGCACCGGGAGTACTAACTCCAGCTACTATATCACGTCTTTTGTTTCTGTATCTCCATTAATTTCAAAACATCGCTTTTTTTAAACGATATTTTGAGACCCCAATTAAAACAATGAAAATTCCAAAGCTCTTGAATCTTAGCGTCCGCAATAAGTGTGTGTTTACGTTTACGGTCAGGCCCAGTGGTGGCAGGCGTGGTCGGGACTAAGATGCCTCGCTACTGTCTGTTTGGCGACACGGTAAACACGGCTTCTCGTATGGAGTCCACCAGCCTGGGTATTGTATCCGTGCCCACGACGTGTCTGCCCTGTGCCCTCGCCGAGCGTAACCAAGCGCCTTGTGTCATGGTTACCGTTGTGTTGCGTGTCACGCAGCACTGAAGATCCAGTGCAGCGCCAGTGTCTTTTACCTGCTGGAGGAGATCGGCGGCTACGTGCTGGTTTGCCGAGGAACGCTGCAGGTCAAGGTCAGTGGTGCCGGCTCCGCTCGGATCCCGATGGCCGCTGATGACGAGTGTCTCCTTGTCAGGGGAAGGGTGACATGGTGACGTATTGGCTGGACGGGAAGACCTCTAAGGAATTGGAGAGCAAGAGCGTCCCTGCAGAGATGGCCAAAGAGCGAGAACTGGGGTCGTCCCTGCCAGGCCAGCTCGATGTGAGGGACCTTTGAACCACGGCCCCCCTGACGGCAACATATGGAAAAGTGTTAACTAAATACAGTACAGTTGTGCCATTGTGATGAATAGTCTCAGTTGCAGACGCACTTTTAACGATTTATTGAACAGGACAAACAGCATCATATGTATGCCGGGGATAAAAAAATAAATACATCATTCGTGTATCAGGTTTTCATTTCACTCAATTACCAAAGACCGTTTACACCGCAGATGCAAAGCAGCTTTTTAATTATACGTACGTGTGCCTGTGTGTTGAGAACCACTCTTGTCAAGGGGACGTACTGGCCACTCTGAAGAGCACTCATTCATTCTATTAAGCATTTCCACATCTGAGACGGATGTGCACGTACGCATTTCAAAGGACTCTTAAGCTTGGCAGCGTGCGTGCGTGTGTGTGTGTGTGTGTGTGTCTGTTTCGTCTTTTAATTACAGAATACATCAGAGGACACAAGCAAATAATGAAGCCACATGCAGCGTTTCCATGGTTGCTTTCTCCACCATGTCATCTGTCTTCCTGTTGACTACAACTTTTTTTTTCCCTCCAATATAGTTCCATTAAATCAAGTAGTTTATATTCCGATATTTAATAGCGATTTTTTTAATTAATACAATTAAAGGTAATTTTTGTTTTGGGGATTTTCGGTTTCCAGTTGAAAAAAAAAAAAAGGAAATAAAGGTGTTGATAAGAACCAAGCACCTGTCAATCATGGGGCAAAGTCTTGGTCCTCTTTTCCAGCAGCCAATGAGCTGCGACCCTGCCGGCGTAGATGACGTATGACCATGACAGTAGCACAACGGCAAAGAAAACCTGACAAAAACACAAAAAAGCAAACGTTTGAGCAACAAGAGGATTCTGTTTATTCCATTAAAAGCGCACGGCTGCAAAAGTGCCACTTGTAAAAGATTTAAAACGACGTCTATGTTTCCTACTTATGGAGAGTCATTGGCGTGTTTGTGTTAACTAAACCATAAATGCGTGCCGAACATAAATATTAATTGATTATATTAAAACCTAACAATGCTGCAATTTGTTCAAAATCCACATGGTGTGTTATGAATACAAAATCAATAGGCTAGCTGCTAGCTCCACAGGAACCGAACCATTTGGCGTTACTTAAACGAGCGTGAAGTTTACCGCCGAATAAATCCTGTCCAGAGTTCGTCTGCTGACCATCACCATGTTGTCACTTTTAGAAAGTTTATTATCTGCATCTCTTCAAAGGCGTTTTCCCCTCTTTTCTTTGAATAACACCGAAACTGGAATTTTAAATGAGTTGCTATGCAGGAACGTCACGCCGCGTTCTTCTTTGCAGTTTTGGTGGGGTGGCGCGCAGCCACAGCGCCACTCTGTGTTCAGACCTAAAATTACATTTTGATCCAATAAAAAAGGTAAACAATACTTTTTCAGTACAAATACTGCGTTACTACACCGAAGTAGAAATTCCAGGAACTTATACTATATTTGAGTATTTATTTTTCTGACAACTTTTTACAACGTATGATACTGTCTGTAGTGAGTCTCTGTGTAGCAACGACAAACAGTAGAGCGCAAAGGTCAAGTTTAAAGTTCATCCGGTGATGAGTGTGTGCCTGTCACGGAGTACACAATATGATCAATGTGTGTGTTTGTGTGTGTGTTTTGAAGATTTTTGTGTGAGTGGTCGCCATGGCCACGCTCGGACCGACGGCGCTGCTTCGCTGCCTGCTGTTGTCGGCCATCTTGGCGCTGGTTCTTTTCCTCACCTCTGTGTGGCTCCGTAAGTCACTTCACTCACCAGCTTTCACTGTGACTTGTCAACCCACACGCCCTCCCTGTTGACCTTTGGTAGGCGCTTTTAATGCTCTCCGCAGCTCAGGGTGGCATTGGAGACTGTGGCCCTGGACACTTGCCATGCCAGACGCATAGAACAACGGTAAAAATAAACCAAGGTTGTATTTGGAAATTTTTTTTTTCCCTGGTGTAAAGTCCTTTTCTCTCAGCCTCAGCCTCCATTGGTGGAGCCTGACGGAGCACCACCCTTCATTAAGGAGTGCCCCGGCCAGTCGTTTCAAGTGTGGCGTCTGCTGCGCTTTTTGACGTCCAGTGTCTCAGTTGCCGACGATGTCCTCCTGGAACCGTACCTGCAGAGCTGGGATCAACTGATCATGTATGCTTAATACATGAGGCCCGGCGGGATCGCAATCTGAGCGCGCTCTCTTCTGTCAACAGTTTCATGGAGTCTCTCGGACCCGTGGTCTCGTTCTTCTCTCAGAAGGTCAACGAGAAGATGGATCTGATCCGACAGCTGGCTCGCACACATGGACCGAAGGGAGGGGTGAGAGGGGCAGAAGATGTGCGACCTCAAGCGGCTTTGTGACCAAATGTGCAGTGTGTGTGGTTCTGCAACAAGTTTTCATCAGTTGCCAACCGTCTGCAACTCATTTGTTTGCAGTAAAGTAGGGGCTTGATTAGTTTGCTGTCCAAACAAGATGTACACGGTAGCAGATTCTCGCATTAACCATTTGGCAGCCTAAACAGTTTGCAAAGTGTTGTGTCAGGGGCTTCACCCATTTGTATGCATTCTTTATTTAAAAACGTCTAACCCGAAAAAAACAAGAGTAATTTCAATGGCTAACACTGTAGTTCAGGTGTACGGCGGGCCTTAAAGGGCTGCCTATGCTCCCTCTGCAGGCATACCGCTCAGTGCGCTCCATGGTGGAGGCGGAGCTACAAGCGGGCGTGGTGGACTTTTCCCGCCGCACCGATTCGGGTTGCCGGACGCTGCTGCGTTTGCATCGATCGCTGCTTTGGCTCGCCATGACGCTGGACGGCCTGACACACGAGCCCGACCAGCAAGGGCGCCTCAAGACACCCGGCGAGCTCAGCAGGTATGGCCACACCCCTTACTGTACTTGGTTGATGCTGTACTTCATGTATCTGTACTTGAGTAATTCAGAGTCTGTACATTTTTAGTCAGTACTACTTTCACCAGTCTTTTTTTGACGCGGGGATCTACCTGAGTGTGAGCACTTTTGCCACGTGTGCCGCACAGGGACGCCTACCAGGTGGCGCTGGCCCCGCACCACTCGTGGGTGCTCCGGCAGGCCGCAGAGCTGGTCTTCCTCGCTCTCCCGGAACGGGAGTATTTCCTGCGACTGGTGTGCGCCCAGAGCCAGCACGAGGCGGAACCTGTCCTGCGCATTCTGATCCGCGCTCTACAGAGGGTCCACGGTGTGACCCAGCGCATCCTGGAGCAGCACGCCATGCTGGACCTGCCCTGAAGGCGCCCCCGATCTTACAAAGGGACGAAGCGTCGCTCCGGATGGATGAAGAAAGTCATTTATTGATTTTTAAATGGACATGCAGACAGGAAACATTCACATGTACAACTGATTAACAATCAATAGCACATAAACATCCCTCGTTCGTCTTGATTTGACTGTTAGCATTGACAGCATAACAAGCTGGTTGGTTAACTTTTTCCCCATCAATCTTTGGTCGACAAGCCTGGGTCACTTGTAAAAGTTATTTATGGAAATCCGATGCAACCAATTTACAGTAATCCCCTGCATATTCGCCGTTCACCATTCAGAAATTCACCTATGACACATTAGGAACGTGTGTCATCATTGCATGTTGGCTGATCTAAATCTGCCAAAATTAGTTTGTGATTTTTGCTCAACTGAGATCAAATGATCTTTGAGATATTTATTTTTCAAGGTATTGCAAAATGAGTTTGAGATTACATTCAGTTATTTTACCATCATAGTTTGTGGCACATTTAAGGTCTGAACTATTAAAATGAGCAACTATAAACATTTTTGAGGGGAGTGCATGAATTAGGCTACTTGCTATTCACGAATAGCAGGGGATTAATGCATCATGTGTATCACAGAAACTAAATCAATAAAATATGACGCCATGTGCACTAGAAACTCGATGCGGGAGCTCTTTGAACATGCATATATTGACAAAAAAAATGTTAGCCACACAATGAACATGCTAATAATGTTAGCCGAGTTACACCACATGCTAATAAACCCATGATGCCAGCTTTGATAGTGCTGCTATACTACTAAACAAAGAGCGTTAGCGGCGGTCGGGGAACATGCTATCTAATAAACTTTGCTAATGACAATGTTGGTGGGGAAATAGTTAAAAACAGCCAAAAGCACTAAGCTCGTAGTGTGTGCTGGCTTGTAGGCTTCGAAGACACCAGTTAGCGTCACATTTTGACTACTGACTACTGAATATCGAAGAAAATGGGCTACTCACAAAGAGTTATGGATATTAGACTTTCAGGCGCAATTTCAAGATGAACCTAAAATGCACTATAAGCTTGCCAGAGACTGAAAAAAATTTTTTGGAAAGCATAAAAATGCATCAAAATATGTAACAAATACACGTTACAATTAGATTCTTGCACAATAAATGCGAGTTGTGCATCATGTAAAAAAAAAAGAATAAAGAATACAAATGATGGCCATTTAACTTTTAACTGCATCCTCATCGTTTTTTGCCCTCTTTAGCCCATGTTCTCTTTCAGAAGTTGTTTTTTGCCTGGCGTTTTGTAAAAAAAAACTGATCCAAGGACGTTTGCTTTTGTCGGCTTTTAACAATCCTTCGAAAATGCCCAAGGCAAAAATCAGCAGAGTGAGCGATCGCCCGACTGGTGAACACTTTTTCTGGGTGACTCACATCTACGTAAAACTATCGGAACACCTCATGGCCCGAGGGGCTAATGATGAGGACGCTGCCAAAACACACATCTATCTATTCTATACACATTGACAAATCCGGAAGAAGTCCCTCTCAGCCAATGGGATGCCAGGAAGATGCTCGGTAATAGCCAATGGCAGAGCAGCTATAAAAATGTTGCATTCAGGAAACTCGGAGCTGCAAGTTGCAAGCATGCTGTACTGTATTTTTAACTTTCGTATCTTGAAATTTCTTTCGTAACAAGAGGCAATATATTCCTGCTGAGACGTTTCGAAACTTGAAAATTTCGTATGAAGAGACGTTCGTAAGTAGAGGTACCACTGTATGCCTTTCTGTGACTCTTCCAGTATCTCTGTAGCCCTGTTTCAGTGATCACAGTTCATTGTTCTACATATTGCTGTCTTGCTGCAATGCGGATTTTTAAGCAATCATTTTGTGTCGCGGCGCATTTTAGTGTCATCCTAAAAAAGTCAGCTAAAAAGCTCAAAAACCCAAACTTTTTGCGAGTAGTGTAGGTCAGTCAATCCTATTGAGAGATGAACTTAACGCTTTGGCACTTAAGAATTTCAATGCACACAATGGAACACAATCAAAAGTAAAAATGGCATGAAATGAATTCATGAGTTTGCTAATTAAGTTTGATGTCGTTCGCCGACTCCGCCCACTCAGTCTTTGACGTGGATGTCGCTGGTGGTGAGCAGGCACTCGGATTCATTCCTTCGATAACGCGAAAGTGTCAAATTTTAACTGGTCGCTTTAAAGGGATGATGATTGGTCACCGTATTGTCCCTCTGGGGGAGGGGCCAATTGCGAGTCACAATACTGTTGACCGCTAGGTTTGCCCTTTTCCCATCCATGCTAAGGAAGTTATCTCTTAACCGCCTCCTGGAGGCTGGGAGGTGAAATACATACCCGAATTGAACGATCACAAAATGACATCAAATCGATCAGAGGACATTACTCACATCCGCCATCTTGGCTGTCCAACCAAGGATGTTATGAAACGAATTTTGACCTCATCGAAATGAAAATGGCAGCCGCCGCCTCTTCTCCGTCTGTCTTGCCATCACTGCAGGTAGCGGTAAACTTTGAAGCAGTGGTTTCCTGAGTCGGCCACCACCACGTGTCCGTCATGGGTCAGGGCCAAGCCCTGCGGCCCATACAGGGGGTCGGCTGACGTGTTGATGTAGGACAGGAAAGAACCGCTGCCGTCAAAGACCTGCACGGTTCGGACAGGAAGACAGTCAGGACCTTTTAGTTTTACTATAGTGACAACCAGGGAGGTTTGGTTGTATTTTTTTTTTTTTTTTAACAAGTGAAACAGCACACCTGTATCCGACTGTTGCCCCAGTCGGCTACGATGATGTTCCCATTGGTGTCCACAGCCACGCCGGTGGGGGCGTTGAATTGTCCGTTGCCTTCGCCATTGGAGCCGAATTTGAGAAGCAGCTCTCCATCAGGCGTGAACACCTGACAGGAAACGAAAGTGAGGTCAGGTGCACGGTCTCCATGAGTGTAGGTGTAAATAGCTCGTACATAGGGAAGCATCACCATATCACACAGTTTTATGAGTAAACCGAGATGATGTCGGATAGACTCGGGCTGTAGGAGAAACCAGTTCTCTTTGAAACTTCAGGGCACAAGTCCTGAATCTTAAGACGAATGTCTATGACAGACGAAAGCGGCAGAAAAACCAAGTCTTAAATCTTTGATGAGGCAAAGCCTGCTTGCTACCTTGACGGAGTGGTTGTGGAAGTCAGTCACGATGATCTCGTTGTTCTTGTTGACAGCGGCGAAGTGCGGACCTTGGGGACACAAGCCAAAAAGAGGTTAATTCACCGAAGTCGGTCACGTGATCCGGCCAGCGCACCTTACCTGCAAACTGCTTGTCGCCATTCCCGCGACTCCCGAACTTGGTGACGAGCTTTCCGCTCAGCTGGAAGATGAAAACCGTGCACGCTTTGTTGTCCACCACAATCACGTGACCCTCGTGGTCCACCGAAACGCCCTTGGGTCCCATCAGCCTGCCCGATCCCAGCTTGGCCTGTCCACCCGCATTAGCGTGACAACCTTAGCATGAGGACGTTAGCGAGCCCAACGCGAATGGAAAGTTGCGTGAGCAAATATTTCATATCTGTGCGCTCCAGCTTACGGTCCAAGTACTAGTGCGCATCAACGATAATGTCTTGCTAGGCTATCGGCTAAATGTGCACTTCCATCAACACGCAAGACTGACACCCACCTTGAACTTGCCATCGCTGGAGAAGATGCTGACCCACTTGTTATCGTAGTCGGCGATGATAATGTCACCGCTGGCGTGCACCGCCACCCCCGTGGGCCGCTGCAGTTGCCCCGGCGACCGTCCGCGTACTCCGAACCGACTTTTGAATTCCCCCTGGCTGGAGAACACCTGAAACAGTGGAAACAAGAATACAACAGTGAGCTCAATGATTTTGTGTCTATATTGTGTTTGCGATTTCATATGTGAGCATTATTTTTTCATGGTCAAGGTTACACTGTATCAGATATCAGATTTATTATAAAGAAATGTTTAGGTTTTAACCCTTTCAGGGACAGCGGTTACTACAGTGGACAGCTTATCATGTTATCAAGTTACAGGATGCATGAAAGGGTTAAAGATTAAGCTCCCCCACCCCCAAAAAAAAAAGAAAATGAACATGCGTTAATATGGCTTCAATTACAGTTGTGACCTGACTAAACACTTGGACTGACAATCTTTTAAGCGCTCACGACAGTAACTTCGCGAGTGTGGTGTCACCTGCACACACTGGTTGTTGCTGTCAGCGATCAGGATGTTGCCGCTGGCAGCTGCGGCGACCCCTTGAAGGTTGGTGAACTCTCCTTTGTTCCGCCCCTTGGTTCCGATCCGAAAGATGAGGTCGTCCTCGATGGGGTTCTGGGTTTTGCGACGCGGCGTTCCCAGGGCGCTGCTAGCCCTCTTGGAGCCCTTCTTCTTCTGGCCGGGAGATTTTCCCCGCCTCTTGGCGCCCTCCGAGGAGCCCGTGGACGGCGTGGCGTTGGCCGCGGAGTTGGAGGGCGTGGTGGTGGAAGGCGACACCTGGCGGGGAGGGTGCAGATTAAGATTTGACAAATAACGTGAACCCAAGAGTGAATTGGGTTTCTCGCTTAGTCGTGCCTGTCTTCATTTGTAGAGTCAAAACCGGTCCGATGAGTATAACTTTGACGAAACACACTCAACCTTCCCTCGTGTTTTTTCGCCCACCTGTGACGTGCCAACATTCAGCTTGAAGGGACTTCCTTTAATGTGTTGGTCGTACAGACGCAGCGCCAGTGAAAAGTCGCCCTCTTTGGGCAGCACGTAGACAAACTCGTACGTTCCATTCTTGTGGTCCACGATCTCGCCGTCCACGATGCTGCCGTCGGGCGTGAACACCTGCGGGAAGAAAACGACAAAGGCGAGGTCAGCAAGCCTCGCCCACACCTTAATTTGGCGGCCACGTGCACCACCTCAGCTGACAAGATAGCATTTCCGCTCTTGCAAGCCCCTCCGGATTTGTCTCTGGTTACTATGGTGACAGAGGAAGGGAGTCCCACGATGCATTGTTCCAGGCCGGCGCCCATCGCCTCGCTTTGGCTCGCGACAGCACTGAGGAAGAGGACGATGTAGATAAAAATCAGTCACGCTTGCGGCGAGAATTTGAGCCTCATTCCTCCTGACAGATTTTTCCCTTTTGACTTTTCTGTGAAGTTTTCGCTTCAAGTTGGGAGCCTCTTACCTGGTGGTCACGATGGTGCCCAGGTTGTGGATCCACTTGCGCAGGCCGTCCGTTTCCAGGACCAGGTCCAGCTGGTCGTTCTCCTCCGGCTGGCACGACAGACCTCGTCTGGCCAATTCCTCCAACTTCCCCTTGAGGTCCAGCTCCACTTCCAAGCTACCAGCGCACGCCTCCGTCGCCAAGACTTCCTCTGTACGGGTGCAGGCAGACGACACAGCGTCCTCTCCCTGCTGGAGGCTCTCCAGCTGAGACTGTAGCACCTGGGGTCAACACAGGACAACATAAGCTCACGGGGGCCCCCCAGTTTCAGAACCACTTCACTGCGTGGTTACCCAAAATGCTTTGTTTCATTTCATTCACCTTGTGCTTGAGGCCAAAGGTGACCTCCAGCTCCATGAGAAGAACGCTCTTCCTTACGTCCAGCTGCTTGTGAAGGTCCTCGAAGCTGGACAGGATGTCCTCCTCGATGGCCGCCCTCTGATTGGTCAGCTGCTGGACCATCTCTCCCACCACTACGGCTGCGGCCGAAATCTGCGGTAGTCTGGAGAGCACAAAGCCGTCTGGTGACTCCAGAAGTCCTTTCAAAGTGGCCAGGCCGCAGAGTTGGGATCAAGTCACACTTGCAAGTCTCCAGTCATTTTGTCTTGGGCAAGTCGGGTCACCTTATTGATGCAGTTTTACGTGCGGTATCTATTGTGGACGCGTAAGAACGTATCGGATCAACGTCAGCTGGTAGAACTCCCAAGTTAGTGTGGCAAAACTCAAACGAATTCGGCCAAGTCCCCACTAAATTTCAAGTCAGTCGAGTTCTTATTTTAATTCAAAGCAGGGACATGCGGCCAGGGGAGGCGGAGCCTCACCTGCATGTTAAGAGTAAAAATAAATAAAATAGTTGCATCAACTTTAGTTCTCTGTTTTATTCAGTTTCTTTTTAAATCCAATAAAATCCATGATTTCATCGTTAAAATAGCTGAATTCGCATAGTTCCTGTTCAAATACGTGGATGAGAGAGGAAGTGTGGCAAAAAAAAAAACAGCCTCACCTCAGAGTGGGCAATCACCCTGAAAAAGCAAGACAAGTAGAGCGCAACAGCAACATCTATTGGTAAAATGACAGTAGCAGTACAGAAGAGGTCCATTGGCCTGTCCTGTCCCTATAAAATCCCCAATATCATGTCTTCAGACTCTTTTAAGATGCATTTTGATTTTCTGTAGTCAGATTAATGCAAATAATATTTGTGTGTTGCATATTTAGCCACACATTAGCCACTTTCCAATGAGTGTCTGTATTCACAATTTTTTAATGGCATCTTTATATACAGCATCATATACACGACGCAAAAAATAAAAGTTTCTTTCAAAAAAAAAAAAAAAAGGGACACACTATTTTAAGGGAAAGTTTTGTAAAGCCAAAGTCAAGAAAAAAAAAACAGCCTCACCTCAGAGTGGGCAATCACCCTGAAAAAGCAAGACAAGTAGAGCGCAACAGCAACATCTATTGGTAAAATGACAGTAGCAGTACAGAAGAGGTCCATTGGCCTGTCCTGTCCCTATAAAATCCCCAATATCATGTCTTCAGACTCTTTTAAGATGCATTTTGATTTTCTGTAGTCAGATTAATGCAAATAATATTTGTGTGTTGCATATTTAGCCACACATTAGCCACTTTCCAATGAGTGTCTGTATTCACAATTTTTTAATGGCATCTTTATATACAGCATCATATACACGACGCAAAAAAAAAAAGTTTCTTTCAAAAAAAAAAAAAAAGGACACACTATGTTTAAGGGAAGATTTGTCAAGTCCAAGTCAAGTCAAGTCTGGTTCATTCTAAGTCAGTCTTCTAATTTTTAGCCAACCCAGTCTCAAATTTGACAACTTAAGTCAACTTAAGTCCAAGGCACAATGACTCTAATCACTATCCCCTTTCACCTGTCATGAGCCGCCCTCATCTCCGCCTCCAAGGTGCGCCGGTGCTGCTCCAAGGCCTCGCCTAAAGGCACCCTGTGGTGCTCACTGTGCTCAGGCACGCACTCGCCGCACAGTGCACGCGTGCACGTGCAACAGTAATCGGAGACCTGCGGATGACACAGGGTCAAGGATGGCGACGGCGTGGGCGCGAATCACGTGGCTACGCGGCCACCTCACCTTGCCGCCATGTTGCGGGCAGGTATCCTTAGTGGGCGGAGCCTCAAGCACGGTGCACTCCTCGCTGCTGCTGTCTGGAGAATGTTGATGCGCCGCCATCGGCTGTAGTGGCGGGATGGTTGAGGGACGTCTCCGCTGCGATGCCGTCCGCGCCGCCCTCAGTCCATGAGGGTGTCAGAGCCGAGCCAAGGCATAAGCGAACTAAGCCGTCAAAGAGTCAAACAGACGACATTGCGCTCAGTTCACTTGGCGTCCTGTGGACGACAAGTAGAAGTAGACGGTTACGTCGAAAACGCCCCCCCGCCGCAAGAAGAGTTAAGTAGGTCACACTCGTGTCTTCAGAGTGAGGGTGATGCTGTGGTTGCCATGGAGACCAAAATTGGAGCCTTTGATCCTAAAATCTACACATAATCTGCATACTGCATGTCTAGTCGAGCACACGTTCATTTGCAGTGGCACCTTGACATGCAAATTCAATTTCTTCAGTGACCCTGGTCATAACTCAAATGACTTGGATCTCAAATCATCTCTGTTCATTTAAATAAATGGAAATTACATGAATCCCTTCCGAGGAGGAGCATAATGCAGTCATGCAGAAACAAATGAAAATTTCACAACTGCTGAGCAAATCAATAAATGGTAGTAATATTAATTGAACTCCGCAGAGGATAAAGAAGATATGACTGAGCGTATTGTTATATTGACAGTCTACACATGCCACTGCACTATTTGTGGTCAATTATCAGTTGCTTAAAGGGTTATAACACAGCCACAAAGATAGTAGATTTGTTAACTCATCTGATGCATTTTCCATTCTTTCTTAGCGTTAAGATAGTGAACTCTCCTGAGGCAATAAACAGAACACAACATGTAATTCTCTTAAACTGGGAGTGACATTAAACAGCCTGAAACCCCCTTTTTTAATTTTTTTTAGAACATTTGTAACCATATCTCAATTTTTTGTTCTTAAGCCAAAGCATAAAAATCAGCCAAACAACAGCGCTCATCACGAAAAATGTATTGCTACGTACTGTATCTCTAGGTACTGTTCTGTCTACCTACCACTGGTTTATTGAGTTTTGGAAGCATAGTTGATGGTATGTTTATTGGTTTAAACTGTTGATATAGGTTAAGTATAAAAATTTCACAATTCGCGGCAGAGCTTGGTCCCTACCCCCTGCTAGTGGTGGGCATTTACTATATGGAATCATCTTTTCTTTAATATTGAAAAGTGACATTCAATATAGTTTGCATTTAAGGATGTGACAGTAACCATGTCATTCCTGTGGCATAGCTGCTGTCACTGTTAGCACTCGGGATGCTAACTTCATGCGCGCACACAGGCCGGATGTCGCACACGGACAAGCTACAGATGCTACTGTCTCCTCCCTCCATCATCATCTCTCCATCTTCACTCCTTCACCCAGCATCTCATCACTACGTAAGGGCCATAAAAAAAGTGGGAGGGTAGAAACTCACCAGGTTCCAGTGCGACGGACGCATGGCCGAGCAGCATGTGTGTGTTTTCCAGCCTCAAGCCATCCTTTTCTGCCTCCGTGTGTGTGTGTGTGAGTGCGTGCGTGTGTGTGTGTGTGAGGAGGGGTGAGGAGGAGGATGCCACCATCATCATCATCATGGCAACACCAGCAGCAGCAGAAGCAGACGGAGGCGGGGGGAAGGGCGTCCAATCGGCCTCAATGTAACGTCCACCAATCAGGAACAAGTTTAGGAAAGTGCCCAGTCGTCCGTCGTTTCCCCTCCAGCCGCAAGATGGCAATGGTGTACAAGAGGCTACATATGCAAAGGATCGGAGTCCGTCGGAAACATTCGGATCCCGTCTGCAAAGACACAAGACAAGCGAGAAGATGATGGTAACTAAAATTCGATGTCCACGGTTAATCATCTAATATTTTGCTCTACTTCATGAAAAAAGCATAGTGTGTCATATTGTCCAGGTAGTTTGCATGTAGGATTATTTTAGTACACGGATGGCTGCCGATGGCCTTTTCATCGCCACCTCGTTCCGAGGGACCACTGTTTCATAATTCGTCAATATCACGCGACACAGCATGTGTAGTACTTATTTCGACATTTTTTTAAAACCAACCCTGAGTTTTTGGAACAACTTTAACTAGGTTAGGTCAACGTGTTTGCTATGTCAACACGTGGTGAAAGTGCCCTTTTGAAATCCGTGATTCATTGTGATTGCAGGGCTTGCACTCATCTCATCTGGAAACTACAACAGGTTAGAAACTTAATGTTCTACTTTTTTTCTTGATTTTTTTTCATCCGCTCGCTGTGATGACGATTTTTCCTGCCATTCGTAGTTTCCACCAGAGGTCACCACGACCAAAGACGGCAAAACACTTCCTTGGATGTCTGAGCGAACAACTTTAATGACCTGAAGTTGACTCCGTTTACATGGAAAATTTATTTATTTTATGCCACTTTGCAGGTGAGTGTCCCGTGGTGGCCATGCTGGAAGCAAGCAACCATGAACCAGTAAGTTAAAAATTTTAGTGCCAGTTTGTACGATTTTGTCGCTGTGATGATGACTTTTCCTGCCATTCGTAGTTTCCACCAGAGGTCATGTGACCAAAGACGGCTTAATTCTTCCTTGGATGTCTGAGCGAACTTCAAAATGTGTCTTCTTGTAATGGCTGTTTACATAGAAAACTGACATTCTATTTTCTTTACCAGGTGAAAGTCCCCTGATGGCATTTTTCTAAGCAAACAATCACAAGCAAGTCAGGTATGTTCAAAAAGTAGTTACTAGAATGTTTTTGTCGCTGTGATGACGACTTTTCCTGCCATTCGTAGTTTCCACCAGAGGTCGTGTGACCAAAGACGGCTTAATACTTCCTTGGATGTCTGAGCGACACACAACTTTTTATTAATTTATAGTCAAGGTTAAACTAAACAGTTAAACTAACTTTCGTCTCACTTTCAGGGTGGCGTTCCTGCGGCGGCCATTTTGTGAGCCAGACGGGTATGTATTGTGTTGGGGTTTTTTTTGGGTGAATATTTGAACATGTGCGTCGCTGTGATGACGATTTTTCCTGCCATTCGTAGTTTCCACCAGAGGTCATTTGACCAAAGATGGCTTAATACTTCCTTGGATGTCTGAGCGACTAAGAAAATGTATTTATTTTTGTGAAGTTAGTTGACATTTAAACTAACCTTATTTTCACTTTCAGGGTGCACTTCCTTTGGTGGCCATTTTTGTGAGCCAGTCGGGTATGGATTTTATTTTTTGTGTGAATATTTGAACATTTGTGTCGCTGTGATGACGATTTTTCCTGCCATTCGTAGTTTCCACCTGAGGTCATGTGACCAAAGACGGCTTAATACTTCCTTGGATGTCTGAGCGACCCACAACTTTTTATTTATTTATTGTCAATGTAGTTGGCATTTAAACTAACTTTCATTTCATTTAAGGTGGAGTAACTGAGGCGGCCATTTTGTGAGCCAGGCGGGTATGCATTTTATTTATTTTTTGGGTGAATATTTGAACATCTGTGTCGCTGTGATGACGATTTTTCCTGCCATTCGTAGTTTCCACCAGAGGTCATTTGACCAAAGATGGCTTAATACTTCCTTGGATGTCTGAGCGACTAAGAAAATGTATTTCATTTTGGCAAGTTAGTTGACATTTAAACTACCCTTCTTCTTTTCACTTTTAGGTTGCACTTCCTTTGGCGGCCATTTTGTGAGCCACTCGGGAATGTAAATATTATTTTTGGGTGATTATTTAAATGTGTGAGTCGCTGTGATGACGATTTTTCCTGCCATTCGTAGTTTCCACCAGAGGTCATTTGACCAAAGATGGCTTAATACTTCCTTGGATGTCTGAGCGACATTGCTCGATGGTCATTTGTTAGTTGTGGGGGAGAATGTTAAGGCTTGTCTTGTCTATTCCCACAGGTTGACTTCAAGTCATCTGGAAGAAGCAAAATGTTGATTTTTATTTTTGTTGACTCTGTTTCAACTGAATAAAAGGATTGAAAACTTGACTCCCTCGATGACTGCTTTTCAAAATTAAAAAACACGATATAACTGCGTGTTCTACATACAAGGCGATATTAAATTCGTTGCCATGAATTTTGACCTTTCTGTCTTGCCGTACAGTCGGTAATTATGCTTACAGCTTTTAGCGTGCTCGGCTAACTGACACCGTAACACTCGGATTTCGCCGGGATGGCGGGGGTACAACCCCAGGTAGGTTAATTCACGAAAGCCATACAATTTTTATATATCAATTTTTAAAGGACTCACTGTTGTCCTCGTGGCTAACATTTAGCGTGTGTGAGGGTGGTGGGGGAAATACTGCGGCTTTGACGTGGCACAAGGCTCCAAAATTGAGTCTTCCGTGTTGACAGAAATGACAGTACTTCATACATATCTAATCTTCGCTGCTGCCTCTAGGATGACCTGCTGAAAATGACTCACAGAGAAAGCTGGAGGTGAGAGGACCAACCCCGCTCTTCTTGCAATAGTTCATATTTAATACGCCTCAGTTCAGAGTAAACCAGTCTATGCAAATAAAAATTCTTGAAATGAGAACTCATTTTAGCAACCATGTCTGCAGGATGCAACATGAGCGTCTGCACGTCAAACATCAAGGTCACGAGGCCATGCACGCCGAGATGGTTATGATCTTGGTCGCCACTCTTGTGGTGGCCCAGATCGTGCTGGTCCAGTGGAAGCTACGCCATCACCGCTCCTACAACGTAAGTGTGTGTGTGTGTGTGTGTGTGTGTGTGTGTGTGTGTGTGTGTGTGTGTGTGTTGCTTCATGAAGTCTCACACTAGTTGTCCTCAGCTGGTTACGCTGGTCCAGATGTGGGTGGTTCCTCTTTACTTCACCATCAAACTCTACTGGTGGAGGTTCCTGTCCATGTGGGGTGTCTTCTCTGTCATCACCAGCTATGTCATCTTCAGAGCCACGCGTAAGCCGCTCTCCTGCAGGACGCCAAGGTAGGCGGCAGAGTCCCAAGCTGCTGTGGCAGAAAAAAAAAAAGCAAGTCATTACCAAATACAGTCCTCAGATTTCCATCTGTGATACTTTGTAGCTATAATTTTGCATCAAGGTCCCTCTCTCGTTAGGATGGTGTACAAGTGGTTCTTGTTGATCTACAAGCTGAGCTATGCCGTGGGGCTTCTGGGCTACGTGGCCATCATGCTCACCATGTTTGGCTTCAACGTCTTCTTCAGGTGAGTCGACGTGACAAACGTGACGCTTGCCGCGACCTGACGTTTGTGGCAATCTGCAGGATCAAGGCAGAGGACTCTATGGACGTGGGCGTGGTCATGTTGTTCTACGGGCTTTACTACGGTGTGTTGGGCCGGGACTTTGCCGAGATCTGTTCCGACTTTATGGCGTCCACTATCGGGGTAATGTGTTAAATATACTCAACAAGCATACATACCGCCAGTAAAAATCACTGGTCGAAGATGAGTTTGAAATTATATTTATAGTTGTGATTTGGGGATCATAGCATGTGGTATGTTTTCTGATTATATTTACATAAGAAATTCAAAAAAAAAATAAATAAATAAATAAATTGTGTGTGTGTGTGTGTGTGTGTGTGTGTGTGTGTGTGTGTGTGTGTGTGTGCGCGCGCGCGCACAGTATTACAGCCGCGGCGGTATACCTAGCCGCAGTTTGAGCGAGCACATATGCGCCGTGTGCGCTCAGAAGATCCTGGTGGACGTGGATGAAGAGGGCGTCATCGAAGACACGTACCAGCTGTCCTGCGGTCACATGTATCCTCACCACCTCCAAAGCATCTTTTCGGAACAGCCGCTTCCTGTTCGCGCCTTAACCGGCCACGTGGCTTTTTAGATTCCACGAGTTCTGCATCCGTGGTTGGTGCATTGTCGGGAAGAAGCAGACCTGCCCATACTGCAACGAGAAGGTGGACTTGAAAACAATGATGAACAACCCGTATCCTTTTGTCCAATTCTGTGTGTGTGTGTGTGTGTGTGTGTGTGTGTGTGTGTGTGTGTGTGTGTGTGTGTGTGTGTGTGTGTGCGCTGACATATTTGCTTGTCATTCCTTAACCTGGTCCCACATCCAGCTGGGAAAAGACGCACGTCCTGTACGGACAGCTGCTGGACTGGCTCCGGTACTTGGTTGCATGGCAACCCATCATCATCGGCATCGTTCACGGGATCAACTTCTCACTAGGGCTGGAATAGAATCCCTGAGGAATGCCACTCCCAAATAAAGTGTCTTGGAGCAGCATCCCTAATTTGTGGACAAAATATCGGGATATTTTTGCTTCCTGAACTTTAGCCTTCTTTCACTTGACGTGTTTTTGGACGCTGACTCCCCCACTTTTTGGGAGTTTGTAATGTTTTGTGTATCACTGAAGTGTGTTGTTTAAAAAAAAAAAATCCAATCCAATAAATGCAACTTCAACATGCTGATGACCCTTTGGACTCAAACATCCAGCAAGGTTCCTGACACTGACCAAGTTTTCCCGTCAGTCCTGGTCATTGTTTGCCGTGCGATGACCCGTACTCTCAGAGATCCTCCAATAGGAGCAAAGGGTGGAGCGGGTGAGCATAAAAGCGGTCTTTGAGAGCCGCCGGACACAAGAGCAAAGCCGAAATGAAGACGACGCGCACGTTGCTGCTGCTGGTCCTTTGCGTGAGTGGGGCCGCCTCACAGGGCAACCTGGACTACGACGAATACGACACGGTGAGGGCAGCCATCCCCTTTTAACACGGCCTCCGTTCAAACTAGCTCCTGACCGTTTGTGCTTTGCGTGCAGGACACAAAGATCCCGTCCAAGGCCAAGACCAACGCGACGGTACGTCACGCTCTTCATCGAGCCGTCCATCCGTTTTGCAGTCATTGCGTCCTAACCGTTCATCCACCGTGCAGTCCGTCGGACTCTTCGCTGTCCACATCACCAAGCGTCTTTGTGTTTACAGGACGAATCGGCACCCGATGCCCGCGGCCACCGCCCACTGACTGGGGGCCGGGACTCCTACACTCGCAACCGCTATACGCCGCCTCCCATTGGTGGTGGCAGCAGGTCTGTCTTTTTACACACACACACACACACACACACACACACACACACACACACGGATGAACCATGACGCTGACATGGCATCTGCCCAGGTATCAAGGACGTCCGACCACCACGTCCAGAGGACAGGAGGTGGAGGAGGAGAAGAAGGTGCACCCCGAGGCGGGCGGATGTTCGTACGGTGCCGGAGAATTGGTACGTTTCGATTTTTCCGCCGCAGTAAAACTTATGAAGTGGAGTCCATATGTTTACATGTCGTCGTTTTGTGAAACGACAAGTTGAAGTGATAAAGCCACAGATTGATTTCAGTATTGTCGTAATCTGATTTCAGAATGACTGTTTTATGTTCAATTGTTTGGTAGAAAGTTGTGACATCGTCGTGAACGCTTAAAAGAATGCCTTGAAGTCCTCGAAAAAAATAATTGCGTATTAACTTACAATCGCAAAATTAAGGGGTAAATGGCAATTATATTACACTGGTTAAGACATTTTTACTTTTTTTTTTTAATCTGCAATACAAGTAAACATTTCTCCATTTTTGCACAGGTTCTGAATCTGCCCTCGTTTTTTTTCTCGAGCACATTAGGCTTTCGTAATATATATTTCATACAATTTATGACTTCAAATTTCTTAAGTTAAGCAACAGGTGGATTTTTTTTTTTCTGAAATGTCATAGCTATAAATCGCAAGGCGTGGTAAAATCCATATTGCGTAAGCTTTCATACGTTACACTTAAAATTTAAAACATTACTATCCCAAAAGCTTTTGAACTCACCGTCAAAAAATACGTTAAGGCATGCAAAAAGTCATCTCTGATTAAAAATTTGGTGCGGGCCAGTGGTGGTGTTTTTTATTTATTTATTTTTAATTATTATTATTTATTTTTTTTTACCCAACACAGTTCAGCCTTTGCTTTGAGAGTTGCTATGAGTTAGGTACGATTCATGTCTATGCTTGACCGTTCTCGCCAGGGTGTGTTGTGTCCCACCGGCTGCGAGCTGAAGACCGCGCTGCTCAAGCAGGAGAAGAGCGTCGCGACAGTAAGTCTACGCCACAGTTTCCCAACCATGATGTCACTGACACAGAATAAAATAACACACGCCAGACCAATTCATTGAAATTGGATAATTTGTCACTGCACAGTGGTTGAGAACGACCACTTTATTGCTAACATTTTTAGTGGGCGGAGCCTCCAAAAACAGCCCTATGGCCAATCAGCCGTTTCCTGTTTGTTCCAGAGCATCAACGACTTGAGGCCTCTGGTGGACGAGCTGTCGCGCTCGTCCAACGTGGTCTATAACTTTGCCAACGAGATGTCCTCCTCGCTGACCGAGCGCCAGCGAATCATCGGAGGTGACGCTGCTCTCCCGCGAAGCGCTTCTCACCGCCCGCGCTCCCCGCGTCCAATCATGCACTTCCTGTCCCCGCAGACAACGGGCGGGTGGTCAATCAGTTCACCAGTCAGGTGGAGGAACAGCACGCCTTCATCAAGGAGACAGTCGACACAGTGTTCCCCTCCACCATTCGTGTCCTGCAGGTGGGTGGCACACCACAGGCGTTGATTGCAATTAGAAGTCTGTTGCCGTATTTAGCCACTTTTCAGACTACCATAGCGACTCCCTAGCAACAAATATGTTCTCCTATTTATGGAATCACCTCCCCCTTTTAGCGACAAATATAGCTGCCTTTAGTAACATTCTATTGGTTGGTCGGTTGCCAACGCTGAGTTAGTCATCGGCGGCGACAGACTTCACCGACGGGGGAATGTCGTTGTCATACCCACGCAGGGCGTCGTGGACAAGCTCCGTCTGAAGATCGAGAAGCTGGAGAAGGCCATCAAGGCGCAGAAGGAGGGGTGCAAGGATCCATGCCAGACCAAATGCCCCATCCCCGTGGTGACCGGTAAGAAAAATGGCAGTCAAATGGTAGTCCTGTCAAAATAAAAGCTCAAATAGCTGACTGCACTTCCAGGAAAGGAGTGCGAGGACATCTACCGCCGTGGCGGGAAAGACTCACAGATGTACATGATCCAACCGGATCCCTTGGCGTCCCCGTACAAAGTCTTCTGTGACCAAAGCTCTAACAATGGAGGTAGGTAGGGGCAAGGTTATTGGAGTTATTAATAATGAAGACTAAAATTGAAAAAAAAAATTTGCGTGGGGTTAACAAAATAAATATTTCGGTTTGTCTGTACAGAAGAAAGAAAAGTCCAACAATCTAAACAGTTTGAAAATTGTCATTTAAAGACTTAAACGAATAGGTTATTTCAAATTAACGGAATTTAAAAAACAAAAATCGAAACGAAATAAAAACGATCTACAATGAAAAATCCGAAACTATTATAAACCCTGGGTAGCGGTGGTGGGGACCCCAGCTGGTGAGGAACATTGTCTTACATGAACCTTGTCCACCAGGATGGCTCCTCATCCAGAACCGACTGGATGGCAGCGTGGACTTTGGCCGACGCTGGGACGATTACCGGCGTGGTTTTGGGAACATCGCGCTGGATGTGGGCAAGGGTTACTGTGAGAGACCAGGTCAGTCTTTTTTTTTTTTCTTCTTCTCTCTCTCCCTGGCCTCAAAAAGGAGCAGCACCACGAATCTCACTTTTTGTCACGTGACAGGCGAATACTGGCTAGGCAACGAGCGCATTAGTCAGCTGACCAAGATGGGCCCGACAGAGCTTCTCTTCGAGATGCAGGACTGGACGGGCGCCAAGGTGAGCAGGCGGCTTGCCGTCTTGACAAACCCAAATGTACTTACCGGTACTGAGCAGTCGGCGTTTTGTCGCTTTGCGTTTAGGTCCACGGCCTGTACCGCCAGTTCACCATGCAGTCGGAGTCGTCCAACTACATGCTGTCGGTGAATGAATACTCGGGCAATGCCGGGAACTGTCTCTTGGACGGCGCTCTGGAGCTGTTTGGGGAAAATCGCACAATGACCAAACACCATGGCGCCAAGTTCAGCACCTACGACAGAGACAATGACAACTGGTGTGTGTGTGGCCATTGTTGCAGATTTGGGGGTCTCGGCCCCTATACCTCTGTGTCGTCAAAAATCCTTCCCTTCTCACTCACCCTCCTTACACTTGACTCCAGGAACCCTGGCGACCCCACCAAGCAGTGCGCCAGAGAGGATGGCGGCGGGTGGTGGTACAACCGCTGCCACTCGGCCAATCCCAACGGCCGGTACTACATCGGCGGAGCCTACACCAAGCAGATGGCCAAGCACGGCACAGACGACGGCATCGTGTGGATGAACTGGAAGGGTAGCTGGTACTCGCTCAAGGCCATCAGTATGAAGATACGGCCCGTCTTCGCCTCCAGATAACCAACAATAACAACAAAGACACTGTGAATAAACGTCACACTTACTTGACAACTTGTGTCCTCGCCGCTCATTAAATACACAAATTTCCTGGATGCTCTTTACAAGCACAATGAAAGTGTTTATGGGCTCGAACATAATTCAATTAACTTTAGTTCATTTTTGGACAGCTAACATGAGCACCGTGCAGGAAAAACACTGCTTACAAAAAATCAGGGATATGGAGCTTCTAGCAGTGGTCAACAGAGGGCGCTGGAGGCCACTGCAGTTCATTTAATGTCGTTGAAAACCAAAACAAAAACCCCATTAAATATTAAAATAAATAGATTTTATTTCTATATGTGCCCTGCGACTGACTGGCGACCACTTTAGAGTGTAGTCGGGCTGAAGCCAGCTGGGATAGGCTCCAGCACCCCCTTCGATCCTGTTCAGGATAAGCACAGTTGAATAGATGGATTAAAATATATGTCAACCTATTTTGGAGATAAGCAGCATACATTGAATGTAGTATATAGTCAGTACGTGTAAAATAAAACTTTAACTTATGCAGTCGCTCCCCTGCAAGATAGGGCCACGGGTGACGAAACATTCCAATGCCTGGTGGTGTGACCCTCCCTCTCCATCGTCACGCACGCAGCACTTTCGCGTTGGTGCGTTTCCTGTTTTGTGGCAACTCTTGGGCTACTCAAGCTGTTCAGAGACCATTGCTGGAATTTATTTATCTCACGATTGACATCATATCGTAACAGTACCTCTGCAATATTGAAGCTAAGTTTACTAAGATTGGTGACTTGGTGTGCTTGCGCTTACTCGATACAAACAAGTGAAGACGTCATCGAATAGAATGATGCTGTGACTTGTTAATGATGTTTAAATACTCCAATACGTGACACTCTGTAAGTGATCTATATTATAATAATAATATTGTGGGTAGTGTATGTTGGATGTTGGAGAAGTGCTAAGATTCGTGAGGTTCGCCATTCTCAGACTCGACCAAAAAGAGCTGATTTTGTCCAATGTCCTCAAACTGGGTGAGCAATTCGCTCCGTACCGTCGGGATCTGCTTGTACGCTTTGGACGGGGGCGGGCCCACGAGCACAGGCCGAAGTTTGATTTGTGGGATATCTCCCGGAGGTGGGGCCTGCTTCCTTCTCTGGCTGTCAAACTCAGTCGCGTCTGCCCGGAGTGTCCGATAGGCGGCGTCGTCGATGCTGAAAGGCAGCACCGCCTTGCAGGATCCCGCACACGCTCGCAGCTTCATGTCCACGTCCACCTGCCGAGCATTGATTCCAACTTAGCATTTTTATTGCTGGATTTTTGCACTAAATGGCGAGACAATTTGAGCAATTCCACTTTGTAAACTACGCAGTGCTTGATTTTGGCATGTGTGACCGCACGGGCGGCAACTGCAAATGAGTTGGCGAGTAGCCACGATGCCGCCACGTGCTCTCCGCCTCACCTCAGCTCTCCACAGCTCTTCCACCTGCCGCCGAACGCGTTCCTTGAGCTCCTCCAGCCGCTGCCGCTGCCGCCCAGATCGTTGCCGAAGTGTCGTCAGGTTCCTTGCCAGCTCAGCAGCATCTTGCACAAACTTCAGCTCCGACACTTGACAAGGCACAATAAGAGTGGTTACTTGACATCAAAACATACACAAATACGACAATAAAAACACACATATTTTTTGTGGCTGGAATGCATGAGTGACATTTCATTTTTTTTTCAATGGAGAAATTGATTTGATGATGATATCTCTTTGGTGCTGTCTTGTGGCATTTTGGTGTCAAGGAATTATTCTGGTGGTGAGTTGAGTGAGAGCTTCCTTAAAACAAAAAGTTGTGCTTTCCTGCAAATACATCCCATCTTGGTGCCATGGAACTATGTTGACGCGAGTTGAGGAGTTTCATTTCAGCAAAGGCAATGCTTTGGTAGGGCGGTTCGGTGGACGAGTGATTAGCACGTCGACCTCACACTGCAGAGGTCGTGGGTTCGATTCCAGCTCCAGCCTTCCTGTGTGGAGTTTGCATGTTCTCCCCGTGCCTGCATGGGTTTTCTCCGGGTACTCCGGTTTCCTCCCACATTACAAAAACATGCATAGCAGGCTGATTGAACACTCAAAATTGTCCCTAGGTGTGAGTGTGAGCGCGGATGGTTGTTCGTCTAGGTGTGCCCTGCGATTGGCTGGCAACCGGTTCAGGGTGTCCCCCGCCTACTTCCCGAAGACAGCTGGGATAGGTTATGGCACCCCCTGTGACCATGGTGAAAATAAAGCGGATCGGAAAATGGATGGAAAAATGGATAATGCTTTGGTTCCCGGTTTTGACATTTTGATGCCAAGGAGCTATGAGGAAGAGAACGAAGCAGATTTTTAAACAAAATCTATGCTTTGCCAAATCTGATGGCGTCTTGGTGCCAAGGAACTACGTCCAAGTGAGACGATTAGCTTCATTTCAACTAAATTTGTGGTTTGCCAGCATCTCATCATGTGGCATCTTGGTGGCATGGACCCACGTTGTAGTGATTTGAGGAGCTTCGTTTGGACATGGACACCACGCGGAAAAACCGAAGCGTTTGCGGCTAGCTTTACCATGTTGGATGACCAGGACCCTCCGGTGTTGGCGGTAGACGTTCGCGACCTTCGCCATCAACTCGTCATTCGCGGCCTCCAGCGTCTTGGCCGTCTTACAGAACCCGTACAGCTTCCTGTCCACTTTTGTGTGCGCCTGGGAGAGGATAGCCTGCAGGCGGCAACCGGATGGACACTTCCTGCCCTGCAGGTCGAGAAGAAAGTTAAAATATCCTTTCAAGCTATTTCCCCTGTTTTCTCAACCGCTCTGCCTTGGTCAAAGGACACGTATTGAGTTGTTTACTATGAGAATGCTTGGGCGCAAATGTGATGTCATATTGAAACAGCCTATTGGCTTTAAGGCCAACGGGACACATTTCCTCTTCTTACCCAGTCACCATGGGAACACGGCGGCACATCCGACCTGGCGGGGCAGCGTCGTCCAGTGTGGGAGAGGCCGGGCTGCTGGCGGCCATGTTGGATGTGCAGGCCGGCGCATGCTGTGGGCGCAGAGCAAATATGTGGTTAGCATGGTCCAAGGACGCCTTGTTTGTTTGCTTTTTGGAAAGAACTTCATCGCAAACACACGCTGACAGATCTGTTTGCCCAAAACAAGCAACTTCCTGTTGACGCAGCTTCCAAGCATTTGTACTGTTCAATTTTTCAGTACTTTTTCACAACAGATGTTTGAGCCTTGAATCCGCCATCCCATTTCTAAGTACGTCTGCTTCTATGCCTTTCTGTGACTCTTCCAGTCTCTTTTTATCTCTGTTGCAACCTCCTGATGATACCATAGACTCGAGTCCTCAAATGTTCTCGGGGAAGATTACAAGTTACAACGCCTGAACCGGCAGAACGCGCTCATTCAAAAGTTTAGGGAAACCTGTGAAGGTTCGAGCACATTTTAGGTTATCCCAAATTTTGTACCGTAGTCTATGTATGGTGCAGATGGTTTTGCTTCCCAGTGAACAGTTGGGGAAGATGGGGTACAGAATGCGTAGACTATGAAGTTTCTACAGCATTTTGGGTTCATCCCAAATAGTGAGTGGGGAATGTGTGTAGTTTTGACCACTTTAGGAGTCCCAGGACCACATTGTGTCCAAGTGGATCCCACTAAAACACAACACACAGAGGAGATGAGGTGAACATCGATCGTTTATTGAGTTCAGTGCTGAACATTTTGGAAACAAGGGGTGGAAAGTCAACAGAACCAAAGGTCAACACAGGAGAATTTCATAATGCGGCAGGTCGCACAAACATTTGCACACTCTTGAGGCGCCGACCGTCCCACACCGCGCCGGCGCCGTCGTTGAGGTTGGCCAATTGGCAGTTGTTGTACCACCAGCCCCCGCCGTGTGTCGCCGCGCAGTTTCCCGCCCCCGCGTCATTGTCCCGGTCCCAAGTGCTGAACTTCATCCCGCTGTGGGACGCGGAGGACATTGCGAGGGCGTCGCCTGCGGTGCCGCTATAGCCGGAGACATGTAACGGATACCCCTCCTCCTCAGGACCCACCCGAATGATGTAGTCTGCAGTGCTAACGCCCCCCTCCCCGTCCTGCATCTCCACCCTCAGCAGGGTCTCACCCTGGCTGGTCAACAAGTGGAGGTTCTGGTTGCCGAGCCACACCTCCCCCCTCCCCTGCGCGTCCACACGTCCGAAACCTTCGCGGAACTCGGCCCAAGTTCTGTTGAAGTTGAGCAAGCCGTTCTCTCTCTGCTGGACTAACAACCAGCCGCCCAACAACCCCTCCTGGAAGCAGTACACTGACACGAGGTCGGCGGCGGCCGAGGCTTTGATGTTAAACAAGCCGCTCGTTTCCCCCCGGGTGTGCTTGTGGAAGATATCCACGCAATCTGCAACACATCATTCGGTTCTTCAAATTCCAGAAAGTTCAACACGGATGCTAAAGCTAAAAATTAGAACGGGTTTCACTACCCTCAGAAAGTTAGGGATATTTGGTTTTCTGCTGAAATTTCAGTATGAACGTAAAATGTACATTTATCACCGTTAGAGCTGAACTTAATTTGAGCGCTAAACTTTTGTCAAGCTGGTGAATGTCTCATTCGTTTTTGAACAACCAACGAGGTGTCGGATCCATGGAAATTTCCAAGGACTGGAAGTGTCACAGAAAGGCATGGAAGCGGACACGTTTGGAAATGTTCATAGATCAAACACCTATTGTGAAATTGTCCATTGACTAAAGAAACATTCCAGGGTATTCAAAAGTTTAAATCAAATTCAATTCAGCTGTAAAAGCGATTGTATATTTTAGGCTCATCCGAAAAATGTCATTCGGGAGAACAATTTAGAAATTCCCAACAAAAAGCAGCGGTTAAGTACAGGAATCGAAAATCGCAAATAATACCCTCAGTCGCGCCATATCAATTCAACATACTGTAGTTCCTTAGCATTAGCATGGGGCTTTTGGCTCCATCTTGTGGCATTTTAGAGCATTTTGGCGATGTTTTTTTTTTTTTTTTGGTGATAGCGGTCCAAAATAATTTGCGAATAGGTCGAAGATGACGAGCACGGTATTCCTAACTTCCTGCGTGTAGTGGATTCTGTGACTAGGGCTCACGACGCGAAGGCCAAAGCTAGCAGATTGCGGCGTCACTCCAGGTTGGAGGGTGCAATACCTTTTCCCGTGTAATCGCTCTGGCGTTCGACTTGCGCGCTGTGTACGCTGCGAGCGTGCACGGCGGGAACGTCGTCATCCGCGTTGTCACTAAAGAACTTTCCCAAGTCGAAGCCCACCTCCGAAAAGGGCTGTGAGGAGTCGAATTTTGTGTCCGATTGGCTTCCTTTGACGCTGCTCACATGAGTGGTCTTGATGTTGGAGGAGGCATGGCTCAGGCTGGGGAAAATGGTGTCCAACCCACCCTTGGAACCAGACAACCCTCGACAGGCGGGACCACCCTCTCTGCTCTCCACTAGTTTTTCCACGGGGCCGTCCTGGGTTATCACCGTGGTTTTCTTGGTCACTATCACGCAAGATTGTGTGCCGGAACTGGAAAAGTGCATGTCTTCAAAGTTGCTACCGCTGCCAGTCAAGTCTCCGGTGTTGCCTCTTGAGACCTCAGTGATGGACTTAGAATGCGTGGAGGAGCTTGATGAAGAGGTGGAAGTACCTGGAACTTTGGAGATAGTTGCGGGGGAGGATATGGAACCTTCCTTCTCGAGAATCAGCTGGAGGGATTTCACCTGAGCAATAGAGAACAAGATAGCATCTGTTAGACCACTGATTCCCAACTACCGTGTGGAGAGATCAACAGCTCATTGCTTCATCGTTTCAAATGCCAGACCCCCCCCCCCCCCAATAAAAAATACCATTGTCAAAGCCACTGTTCTTTTTGACATGTTTCTTGTCACATTTTTTGGGGTCAGAAACTGGCGTTTTTGGTGAAACCAATGCATGTTCTACTCCTGATTACTTCAGAATGGAAAAAGCTACGAAAAAAAAGTATTTCTGGTGAAAGACATTCTTTTACTTTTCGTAGGTTCTGTGCTGATCCTGCAACCAAAAACGTCATTCTGTGTCTTATGAAAGACCAAAATGCTCTAAAATGCCTGGTAATATCAGAAAATGCTTTGAAAACAGCCGGCAGTGAATATGTGAACCAGTATATTAGGTTTGGATTCGGGTTATAGCACCGCTGAAATCAATTTGTGAGTAACCTGAGATAATCGTTAGTTTTGGGGTGGGACGTAATGTAAAATAACTCAATACGGGTTTGGCTACTGCACACCGACTACATTGAAAGTATGTTCACGGCATTGCGAGGCGCCCTGACCTCGTGGAAGACATCTTGCTGTTGCTGTCCCGTCTTGGTAACCTTGGACTTGTAGATGGTGCCCTCGAGCGCTTCTTGCAACGGCCTGCTCTGCATCACTTCCAGCTGCTGCACAGACTGGATGCCCTGCACCTGCTGGGCCTGGAGCTGGTTCATCTGGAAAAGACAACTGTTGTCATATTTTTGCCTCAATTCAATGGACATTGTGATGCTCTTTCAGATAGGTGCACCTTGCGCCTAGGGCCAATAGAGTACAGAATGAAAAGGATATACTGCTCAATGAAGCCCATGTCAGCATCTCAGTAATATCAGTCACTCTTCACAGAGGATAAAGAATTCTGGATGATGATAGGGTCCTTTTTAAAATTCTCACTGGAGCCAAAATGTCAGCGCATGTCAGACAGCGGCTAACCTGTTTGTCCAGAGCCACGTAACCGGCGTGGTCCACCTGGTGCTCAAAGTACTTCTCACAAGAACCTTTGCAGGACCGCAACTTGATGTCGATGTCCACCTGGAGGGAAGAGATCGGGACCCTTAGAAACTTGTTTCTCATTTCCTTCTCAGCATGGCGAAGCGAGGCTCACCTCAAGTCTCTGCATGTCGGTCACCTGATCCATCACCCGATCACGGAGGGCCGCCAGGACCCGCAGCTGCCGGTCGATCTTCACCTTAATGTCGGAGATCCTCTGGCGAAGGTTCTGCGCCAAGTTGTAGTAGCGGTCGTCTTGGCCTACGGGTCGAACAAGCAACACGTCATCCTCAAGTCGCGCTCCGAAAGAGCACGGCGGGGTTCCGAAGGAGGTGCGCGGGGACCAACCGGAGTTCAGGATGAGCTTCTCCCTCAGGTAGTCGTACGTTTGCTTGGTCACGTGATCGGCCGAGCGGTACCCGACTTGGTACTGCTGCAGCATATCGCGGATCTTTTCGATTTTCTTCAGGAGGCTGTGATCCTGGTGGTCCATCAAACCTTGAATCCTGCAGCCTGACGGACACTTGTTACCCTGGCGGCAGAGGTGGAAAAGGTACTCACACTCTGTTTCATTTCAATTCATTTTTAGTGTCAACTCTCTTCAATGAGTGTTTTGTTGTCATGAAAAAATAAATAAAAATCGAACATTACCCAGTCGTCGTCAGTGCAGAAAGGCCACTCCTTCTCGGGGGCGCACTTGTCAGATCGGGTGTTGGGCACCACGGGCCGCGCTCCCCTGGGGTCCATCCCGCTAGCCTGTGGACATTTGGGTTTTTTCATGGGGGGGGGATAGTGTCACTCGATGTTCAAGCAACACAACGGTTTTGTCTGTTGTCTCACCAGCGAGGCGGCGGCGCACACGAGGCCGAGGCAGGCCAGCAAACTTGGTCGTCGCATGTTGTCGAATGTTCCGAAGATCCCGGAGCCGTCCGGTTTTGAAGCCGCCCCCGACACTCGTGACTCAGACGAGGTTGAGCAAACCGTCGAGTGGGCGACGACCTTTTGTGTGGCTGCACTTTGTACACAAACACGAACTTGCGCTTTTTCCCACCAACTGAACACTCAAGCGGTAAATGAGACAGGTCATGGTTGCTACGCGAGACTTAAGTAGGGACTTACGCAAAGCCACTGTCATGTCACCATTTGTCATATTTATCCAAAAAAATGCAATATGACGGCACGCCCGTATGCCACGTACTTCAGCTGGAACAGTTTACAATCAATATTTATAGGATAGCATGACAAAATCATAAAAAAAGGAAAGGCATCCTAGTCAAGAGAGGTGCTGATTAAAAAATGTAATATGTGTGCGGATCGCTACAAACGTGTTTTGCTCTGACTAACCGAAAGACGGAAAGACGTTGACATCGGGACAAATTTGTAATGTGATGAGTTAAAGAGCTCGTCGCACTGCTAATGCTAACGCAGTTGACGTTACATTGGCCCCTGATGACCTGGCAACACAATTGGACAAAAAAAATAAAATCTTACATCAACATACAGTGGAAGCAGTTCATCCATGACAAACGAAACCAAATAAAGAGAACAGAGTGATGGCAATGTCTGAATACAGTTTCACGGCACGATTATTGGAATTCAAGTTGTAAATGAAGGTCAGTTCTTGTGGTAGCGTTGAGGCCTTCCCGGCCCTGACAACTTGTGTGACCATCAATCAACCCCACCCTCCTTGCCCACAGTCAGCTGCTACAGGCTGTACTTTCGCTCCCAAGAAATGAAACGGATGAATCCGGAACCCTTGCTGTTCACACGTCGGTCGCGTTGAGACAGGCGCACGCAACTTCCTGCCTCCCTTCCTCCCTCTTCGTCCTCCCTTCTTGCTCCCCGTTCAACTGGCGGATGGAGTCCTTGCGCCCGCGCCGACACCCTCTATCCCGAAGCTTGAAGGCGGCCAGGAAGGCGGCGCGGTAGTTGCGGTTCATCCACCCGTAGAGCAGCGGGTTGGCAAAGGTGGAGCACATGGCCACCACGTGGAAGAGGGTGTAAAGCAGACGGAAATGGGGCATGTCCAGCACAGTGCTGTCGATGTCGGTGGCGAGCTGGAAGGCGTGGTAAGGGAGCCAGCTGACGGCGAAGACCACCACCATGGTCACCAGCATTTTTGTGGTCTTACGACGGCGGCGGTGGCGCTCGGAGCCCGCGGCGGCGCCGTCGGCCCCGCCCTCCGCCGGGCTGACGTGACCTCGCAGCTTGGACCAGATGCGGGCGTAGGCGAAAGAAATGATGGCAAGCGGGAGGAAGTATTGCAGCACCAACATGGAGACGCTGTACACCGTCCCGTCCGTGCTGGACCCGGGCCACTTCTCGGTGCAAACCTGCAGACGGGGGCCACAAAATCGCGTTGATGGGCAAAAGAGGAAGTACGGGAAATGGGTTCAAGTCTCATGTCTCCAACGTCATGCTCAAGTCTCATACTTCAAGTCTCAAGTACAATGTCTGAACTTTCAAGTCTCAAATTTTAAACTTCAAGTCTCAAGCAAGTCTCATGTCTTGAATTTCAAGTCTCAAGTAAATCTCAAGACTAAATCTTCCAGTCTTGAGTAATTCTCAAAAATCTCAAGGCTCAATCTTAAACTTCAAGTCTTAAGCGAGTCTCATGTCTCGAATTTCAAGTCTGAAGTCCCTCCCAGGCCTGATGAACCTCAAGTCTTAACCCTTTACAACCTGAGCCTTTAAATCTGAACGTGTCGGCGGCGACACTTTTGGCACTGACACGTGTCGGCGCTGACACGTGTCGCCACTGTATGTGTCGGCGCCGACACGTGTCGCCGCCGACACGTTCTGAATTAAAGGGTTAACCTTAAAGTATCATGTGTCATGTCTTAAATTTGAAGTCTCAAGCCTGAACATTGAAGACTCAAGTCTCAAGACTTAATCTTGAAATCTTAAATCAGTCTCAAATCTACATTTCATGGATTCTCGCGATTTTCAAATCTTAACCTTGGAGCCTCAAGTACGGTAAGTCTCAAAGTCTAAACCTTTAAGTTCCAAGCAATTCTCATGTCTCAAACTCCAAGTCTGAAGTGGGTCTCTAGTGGTTACCTTCCAGTCTCAATCAAGTCGATAAATTCCAAACCCAAGTGGAGTCGAACGTCTTTTACTTTTCGTCAAAACAGTGAATCAAGTCCAAGTCATAATGACTCGAGTCCCATCTCTGAGGACGTACCTGGATGCTGTGCCCCGGCGTCAGCGCGAAAGATCCGTACTCTCGGAAGATGGCGAGGGGGCTGGCGAGCGCGGCGCTCATCAGCCACGTGAGCGCGATGACCCCGTAGCAGGTGTCCTTGCGCATCCTGGTCTCCAGGTGGTGAATGATGCACCTGTAATCACGGCGACATCGCTGTCACGCGTCAGGCCCCGGGCCACTCGGAGAAGCGCCCACCCGCCCGCCGGCTTATCCACCCGCCTACCGACCTGTGGCGGTCCAGGGCAATGACGTTGAGGGTCAGAGTGGAGACGTGGACGGCGAGGCCCTGGGCGAAGGGCACCAGGAAGCAAAGGGTGCTCCCAAACTGCCACTCGCCCTGAAGCGTGTAGACCAGCGTGAACGGGAGACACAACGCGTTCACCAGCAGGTCGGCTAAGGGACAGGAAGTGGCATTTAAAGGACGTAAGACATTTAAACTGGGGTCCGTGAGCGAGCCGTTGCTTGGGGGGGCCACAACATAATATGCAATATATGAAGTTCATTCATTCATTTTTTCGAACCGCTTGATCCTCACTAGGGTCGCGGGGGGTGCTGGAGCCTATCCCAGCCGTCTTCGGGCAGTAGGCGGGGGACACCCTGAACCGGTTGCCAGCCAATCGCAGTGCACACAGAGACGAAGCCCACCTCTCCAGCAGGCCTGGCAGTCCTCAGCTATGAGGCCGGGGCTGCCTGCTTTCTCATGGTAATCGCACACTTTGTCCCTGGGTGGATAATCCTGCACTGGCTTTGTGCGGGCCCCAGAGGAGAGCCCCACAAGGTCGACCCCGCTTCACAGAGAGCCACAAAGAGCCAAAAGCAGCAGCAGCACCCCACTCTAGGCCCATGCACCCCTGCACGCAGACATCCACAAAAAGCACGCCCGCTCTCAAATGCACGCTCACACTCATTAGTTATTCTCAATTTCAGCAGTCTCCAGTCATTAAAATGAGCGGCTTGTTTCCCAGCACAGACACGCATCCTCGTATATAGTACACAAGACATGTAAGAAAATGTCAACGGAAAAGGGGGTTTTAGAGTATTACTGCCAAACTCTTTTCGAATGACATATATTCATGCAATGCTTTCAGTGGAAAAAAAATAAGTGCTATATATATATATATATACACATACACACACACACACACACACACACACACACACACACACAGAAAGAGAGAGAGAGAGAGAGAGAGAGAGAGAGAGAGAATAAATTGGGCGTTGGACGTACCGACGGCCAAGTTGGCGATGAAGAAGTTGGTGACGGTGCGCAGCGTCTTGAAGCGGTAGATGACGTAGATGACCAGAGAATTACCCACAAGCCCCAGGAGGATAATGGCGCTGTAGGCCGCGATCAATACCACCTGTAGCGAGGAGCGACAGACACAGCAGTTGCCGGGAGGCCCGTCGGGACGTCAACCTGTCACTCACCTGCACGCCGAGCAGTCGGATGGGGTCTTCGGGAAAGGTGCCGCCTTCGAACCCGAGGTGCTCCGCGTCGGCCAGCAAGTCGTCATAGTCATCGTGGTCACTGAGATTTGCGGACCCAGTCGTGGGTGGGTCCTGATTCACGTCGACCTGGTCCATGTCGTATGTCCAGTTGCACACGTTGGAGAGCCAATCACATTCGTCAAGAATCCGAGCTGAGCCGGTCACGCAATTTTGTCCAGTTGCCTGCGTCCGACATCCAACTGTATATATCGGATATCCAATCGCAGACGTATGTCCACGCCCACAGGTCTAAGGTTCAATCGTATGTCTTGCATGTTCAATAATTTCTCGTCTGTCCTCTCTCACACAATCATTTGTCCAGTCGCGCACATCATACGTCCAGTCAGTCAGACTGACTGGCTTGGCAGGGCCATTGCACATTGCCTGTGGAAGGAAAGAGAAAGAAATATTTGAGGAATTTCAGTCAATTGTGTGGTTTGGGATGAAGAGCAACGGCTCGCGTGGCGGTTAGCGACGCGTAAGGGGACACTGATTTATTCATCAACACGTTTCCCGCCTGTGCTATTTTTAGCTCACTCTCATCTGGAGGAGCCAGTGTAGTGAGAGACGCAGTCACCTGGAGGCGAGGCATCCCTACAGTTTTATAAACAAACCTACAGGGACCTAGCATGCTGCCCTGAGGAGCCCCACCGCAAATGGTAGCGTTGTCAGATGACGTGGTTAGAAAAACCTAGAGGGACCTAGCATGGTGCCCTGAGGAACCCCGCCGCAAATGGTTGCATTGTCAGATGACGTTGTTAGAAAGTGACTTCTTTACATGACAACAACGTGGAAAACAAAATACATATAGCACAGAATCATACATAAATGCTGACACCAGACTGAATGTGAATTTTGATTGCATTAATCACTTCGACAGGAAGAAATTTCAGATTTTATGGCCAATGCTGTCAAGTCCCATACGTGCGAAGCACTGCAAATTGCCTAATCCTAACCGGTAACTGAATCCTAATTATCCTTGTGCAATTCTTGAACCGTCATTTGAAATAATGTCCTGTCTTTGAACTCTGGGGATGGAAATTCAAACTTTTTTAATTGGATTTATCAACAAAATAATCGACACAATCGATTATTTAAATAATATTAAGATCATCAGTTGCAGCTCTAATATATGAGTATATACATCTCATATCAATAAAAAATGCATTTGATCTAGGTTGTTTTGTACGTAACTTGAGTCCGTTCATGCTTTCGAAGACTGCTTTAATCACCAACAAAAATTTGGACAGTAAACAAACGGTAAGAGAACCGTGTGACTCTGGTTCTTAATGTTGCCTGACTGAGCCTTTTTACCGACAATGCCCCAAGATGAAAGACGTAAGGAAGTAAAAACATACAGTATGTAATTTTAGTCTCCGGTAGTAGTTTTTCACTTCTGGTAATTTCACTGCCACTGACAAGTATCCTTGTCAGTAATATTTTCGAACGGAGATGAGTCGGGGAGTGTCTTATGCTCCTTCGCTGCGTCAATCTTTGAAAACTCTGAAATCGTTGAAAACTTTGAAACAATTTCACTGATGCACAACCACCAGTAGATGACAACGCCCTCTCCATTTTAGATCTCAGCTCAGCTCGGCTTGTGAGTCTACTGGGAGAAGCGGCTGCATTTTGTCCGACCCGCCTCTTTTCTACCAATGATCATAAATGAACAGAAAAAGGGAGAATCTAACTTTTTTTTTTTTTTCTTGGTGAAAGTCCATTCCGTCATTCTGTAGATTTGGTGTAGGTATACAATCGTTGAACACAATATCCTGTGGGTCTTGAAAATGACAAAGTACTCTAAAATGGCCGGCAGTGAATGATTAATACAATAATAGCGGGTTCACTTAAATTTAAATCTACTCTGTATTTACATGATGCATGTTTGCGAAACATTCATTCATGAAATGGCAGACGCACTTGTCCAATTAATGAATGACACAAGCCCCTGACATCCTCCCCCAAAATAAAAGTGACACTTGAAGAGTTGATTTGTATGAATATCATTCTCAATATATATTGAAAAGGTTGACACACTGACCAGTTGGCGTCTCCGTGGTCCAGACTCCAAAAGTCCTTGACGGTCCAAACAAACAAAACAAAAAGGTGGTGTTGTTTACTTTTCCAAATCATCCATCACCTCGTCACCTTAGATGAGCACGTTGCATCACTGCGCGAGTTCGAGGAGGCGGCGGCAAAGAAGAAGAAGAAGAAGAGGCAAGTGAGGCAGGGGAGCATCACATTGCAGAAGCGGGGCGTGCTTGCGAGTGCGAAGAGAAAGATGACGGAGGAGGAAGATCAAATCAAAGTGAGCAGGCGGGAGGTAGCAGATGGCAGTGTCATGACAATAGAAAAGAATTAACAAATGATTCATATAAATGCATGAAAAATACAAATTCAATTCACGCAAAATGCAAAATAAATGTGCAGCGCTTCTCACCCAGAGTCACCCTTGAGGCCAATAAAATTAAGTGAGGAAATGCAAAAACAAAAAAAAAAAAAGATAAACCCCAAAAACCTAAAATATGCAAACCGAATAGAAGCAGTACCGGAGCAAGGAGTGGGGGGGTCTGGCGATTCACTTTTCTCAGCCGAAAATCCCTCAGGAATGTCCCACCTACCTCAGCCTGTGAATACAACTAAGCACACAAAGAAGCTAACAGCGCTAATGCTACACAGCCAACCGTGGCCAAGAAAAGCTGCTTTGTGGGGATCAAAGTGCGCGCCGTTTCATTAAGATTAAGGCCAAGCACATTAATCAGACGGCCGATTCCACATATTACAAGATAAGGAAAAACATCAAGGATATTGAAACACTCGCACCCCACGCGTCCTCCAAAAATTGGCAGATTTTTGTGCATTTTTCTCTCTCTTCTCGGAATGGCATTCTGCCAAATATCAAAATCGGCATCGGCTACGTGTGTGTGTGTGTGTGTGTGTGTGTGTGTGTGTGTGTGTGTGTGTGTGTGTGTGTGTGTGTGTGTG